GGAGGCTCTGGAGCATGTTGTTGTAAGGTTTCTAATTCTCTGTGGTGGCGGGGGGGGGGGGATGGAAGCAAAGGAAGGGAGTTACTTTCTTGTTTAATGATCATACTACATGCTCCCTAATGCCTGCCCTACCTCATTGGAAATTCTGGAAATAAGACATCCAGAGCCGCCTCTGATTGTTTACATGCAATAGTATTTGCTTCAGTATTCTCAGTTGGGAAGAAGTGAAATTTTGAATGAGGGAGATTCAGAGGACTATTTCACTTCCTAGTTTATTTCTATGTTAAATACTCCCCTTTATTTTTATTCTCTATCTCTATCCATGTTCAAGGAGCAATGGAACTGTACAGTTTGAGAAAATGGAAGGATGATGCGGGCCAGGGTCTCTAGCTGTTCAGAGGTTATCTGAATAGCTCTGGAATCTTGTTCATAAAGCCACTGCTGCTGTTGTACATGCAAGGGAAGTAGAAAGCTGCAGTGATCAATGTGTATTACATTCTTCATTAAGGTCCAAACACTGCCACCATGTGACAGTTCTAATCATCTAATAAAGAAAAAGGATATATCGTAATAAAGGAAGTCAGCATCATTGATGTCATCAGGACCAGTATGGTATGGCCTATGAGATAGACTACACAACAGAGAATAATGAGAGATAAATAATTCTACCTGAAAAGTTAACCAAAAAAAGTAAGAGCATTAATATGAAAACCACCACTTTTTTTAGCTAACATAGTTGTCACCATTATATAATCCCTCATGAGGATAAACAATGTATGGCAGCAGGGGTCTTGCCTGTTTGGGCAGCTGATTATGCCTGAGAAAGTGCTTGAATCATACCCAAAGCATGGCAAGGACTCAATAACTTATTATATGGATATATAATAGTGAGTGAATCCTAACCAATCTTATTAGAAGTCTTCCTTTGCCCTTACTGGTAGGATTCCTTTGAAATGAAACTAATTGATACTTTCTGTATTAGTCAGCTTTAGATTATTACAAATGCACACCTAAAAGATACAAAGTAGAACTTTGGAGATGTCAGTCCATCATGGTGGGGAGTGTGTGGCAGAGCATGGTCAGCGAGGAAGAAGGGAGACACTGTGTGCCTATATTTGTAGACTCTCTCTCTTATCCCTCCTTTCTTCTATCTGGACTCCCACACTATAGGATGGTGCTATTCTCATATAAGGTAAGTCTTATTAATTAATGGAAATGTCCTCACAGGCTTCCTTAGAAATGTGCTTTACTCCACTCTAAAGCATTCTTCAATCCCAACAAGATTAGCAATCATACCATTTTTTCAGGGGTACAGAGATATAGAGCATCCTGATAGGACACTATGCCAGCTAGTAGCCACAAGAAGCAGTCTCAAGTAGGAAAAGCAATGATTGGTACAGGGGTTCCTGCTAGCTCACACAATAGCTTTCACAAAACTCTTCTGAGTCAGTCTGTGGACTGAATTAGAATGCATTCAATATGCTAGTAACAGCTGCGCACCCCAAACAGTCACTGCCCCTCACAAATCTAATTGCCCCCTGCCCCTTTTTGTTTTTTAAACTAAATTTCATTGTATCCTTTTATTACACAGATTTCAATCAAATCTGTTGAAAGCAAGGCACTGAGTTCCTGCAAGCCAGTGGTTTTCTGGTTTCCAGGCTTGGAGAGCCCTCTGCAGGCCAAGGATAACCTTGCCTCTGATACCTGCATGGTCATAGGCATATAAAGTACAGAGAAAGAACTCCTGGGGGATCTTACTTAATAGTCACAGGCTGAGCTGTATGTTTTTCTGTTGTGAGGGGGAGATGGCTTATGAGAGATCATTGGAATGAATCCTTATTGTTGAAAGAAACTAGTTAAATTTCCCAGCAATTCTGCGTGTTTAGGAGAGAGAGAGAGAGAGAGAGAGAGAGAGAGAGAGAGAGAGAGCGAGCAGGTTTGGGGATTTCTTGTCCAGACTCCATTAAACCCCAGACATGCATCACGTACAATCTCATCCATCTACTAACCCCATTTTCATTAGGGGCCTATTGAACACCCAAACACAGGAATGCCAAAGGCAAAGTAGTCCCCCAAATAGACCCTATGTCTTCATGAAGGTGACATTCCAGTGAGGAGAGAGGATCAATAAGATAATGAGTGAAATGGGTAATAATCTGTACAGTGGAAAATGCTGAGGGGAAAATGTGGGAGATGGGTACTGTAGAATTTCCAGAATGGGGGAAATTAACTATAAAATTTGAGATCAAGTGTCCAAGAAAAGCCTTGGTGAGGGGTTGACTTTGCAATGACACTAGGCAAAAGGTAAAAAGCAAGTTCTCAAACTATGTGGAGACATACCACCAGGAAGAGAATGCACACTCAGAAGCTCAGGGGGTAGCATGTCTGTGGGCTCAGGAACACCTGCAGAGAATCCTGCATCAGCAGTAGGAACACAGAAGGAAGCTGGAAGTATGTGAGGGAGGAGAGGATATGGGATGGAAAAATTGAGGAGGTTTCAAAAGCAGCAAAACATTGCTTGTTATCATGGAGTGAGATGAAGACTTCAGAGACACATCCTGTATGAACTCAAGCAAGCCACTTGGTGATAGTCCGCATAGCCTTAGGACATAACATCACTGAACAGTAGGATTAAGAAGAAACCTGACCATCCATCAGACAACAAATTGATGTCCACTGAACAATATCTTTCCTAATTGCCCCTACATCTAACCCTAGACACCCTATTTTGACATTGACTGAAGGATTTCTGGAACAAGTCTGTCTCGGGAGAATGGTGAAATTGCTTCCATGGTTCTCACTGTCCACATCTGTGCACTGGAGGTGCTGTTCATGGAGACATCGTCAGTCATTGCATCTCCAGGAACGTGGATAACACAACTAGAGACAGGCATGAAACCAGGGATAGCTTTCTGGCTCTACCACCAGGAACTGGATCGGAGTCAGACACTGAAGCTCTCTGGCTCATTGGCTCACTGGCTCCATCATCTCACAGAGCCTGAGTCACTAGAGAAGAATGTAGAGGAGTATCATTTGTTACCTGGGATTATAAGTCAATGTGACCTTCACAGAGTTTTGCATAACTTCAAAGTTCAAGAGACTCTTGGGATATTTGGATGAGATTAGAGCTGGATACCTCTTGACTGTGGCTGAGGTTGGAAACAGTGAATCATTTATTCATCTCTCTAGAATCTTACCTTTGTTCTATCCAAGTACGAGAAATAAAGTCTACCGTTGTGGTTTTACATTTTTGTCTGGCGCAAAATACATAAAAGGCCCTTAGAAAACGCCATAGTACTTGCAAAGTGCAGGTTTACCCTGACAGTTTAAACCTATGTCTATCTGTCTCATTTGCACATTGAATTAGCATTTTTGAACCTGACATGCTGCTGATGTAGATTCCTTAGTATCTCACGGAAAACACAGTGTGATCTTTCTCATGCTCTCAGAGAGATGGTATTAAGAGCTGGGGCAGTTTCGGGAGCCGGGGCAGTGATGCCTGGTAGGCAGATCCTCTTCTCACCAGGGACTCTTGGTATGTCTCTGGCATGTGCCCAGGTGACTCTATATTTGCTTTTCCTACTATATACTGATTCACACTACAGATCCGTTTATGACAGAGGAATATCAAAGGTAGCTTGGTCTACTTTATTCATCACTGCTCCATGTGTTTGCCTATCGGCCTATCCAAAGTCACCAGCTGGCATATGGAGCTGTGGGGAGCCAGACTGGCGCTTTAGAACTGTGCACTTGTCCAGGAACAGACTTGGCAAGGCCACTCAGATACTGGAGCCAGTACCTTAAAGGGGTTGAGGTCGCAGCTTCTGAGGACTTGAGTGTTTCTCATTGGCTGTGGTTATCAGTCCTAAGGCAGTTGTGTCTGAGATATCCCACGTTGCCTTTGCCAACTTTGTCTGACTTAGCTCTCTGTTGACCTTGGCTGATTTCCCCCCTACAAATTATGTACAAAGATGCTGTGCCTCTTAATATACTTGCTTGACATAAGACAAAGTTTATTCAAGATCTCCCAACTCCAGATGTTTATGTTCTCTGTCTGTCTTTCTCATCCCCATGCACGTCCCCGTTAGGAGGCCATCAATAAGAATGACCTACTGGTGCAGGTCATAAAACCTCTGTCACTATCTCAGTTGTCCATTTGTGGTCCTCTGAGCTGAGCTCGTGATGCCAGAGCAAGAGTTCCAGACAGTATAAGCTGGCTATTGTCACTGGTAATTTCCCCTGGAAATGGAGATACCCTGATGGCTTTCAGCAGAGTAGGAAACAAGATGGACTTGCTCCTACCACATAGGCACACTCCACAGAGTCACCATCCAGGGACCAGGGGCACTGATCCAGAGAGTCTTATAAGTCTCTCTGAATGTGAAAATCTCTGTATAATTGAATTCATTGAACAGAGACATAACTACCAGAATCTTCAGTCACTGGATGCCATGTCCTGTTCCCCAACCAGATTCTACTGGCTTTCAGCTAAAGGGCTTTCGGCTACATCAGAACACCCTAAGTCTTCCATATAGTATGCACCCCCAATAGCACCCATGCTGCACATGTCCTCTGACAAACTATGGAAAGAAATTCTTTAGCTCTAAAATGATGTACATCTGTTAAAGGCATGGTCACCTTTTTCTTTGGGATCATTTGAGAGGTTATAAAGTTTTCTGGAGATGAGAACTAGTGGAAGAAATTTATTTAGGTCACCAGGGTGTGTCGTTAAAGGGAATATCAGGACCTCAGTTGCCCTTTTCTCTTCTATCACAAGGTGAACAGCTTTGTTCCATCTCACAGTGTCACCACAGTCTCAACATTCAGGCAAGGGGACCGTGGACCCACACCTCTGAAACTGTGCACCATAGTAGAGCTTTTCCTCATTATAGGTTGATTGTTTTAGGCACTTTGTTATAGCACTGGAATGTTGCCTCACACAAAGTGTGACTATACTCCCAAAGAGTAATTATAATGTTAATATATCCCATACACACAAGTTCTGGTAAAAGAATCAAAGGGTTTTTATTATTGTTATTTGTTTATCATTTATACACATCACATGTTACACAAAATGCCAACCAGGAAGCAAATGTAGAAAAATAGTGGAACTTATTGGCACGAATGACTTTGTTATGACTAAGGATTTTGTGTCACAGACAATTCGCAAGGATGTTTAGGAAACTGATTATTTTATATATATATTTTTTCAGCAGAGTAAATATGAATTAGAAATCACAGTGGCATCAGGCTATACATACAAGTCCTTTCTTTGAGACCATGACAAAATACCTTACCTTTCTTCGTCATCTAAAAGTATATAATATTTGCAAAAATAAATAAAAGTTAAAATAAGTAATCTCATAGACTTATCCTATGCTATCACTGGACAGTGGTCCAAGGCAGTTCCCTGCTTAAGCATGCCATGCTTGTGGAAGCCATTATGTGCCTCTTATTTGCTTGCACAGCTATAGTTTATCTGCTAAATGGAAAAAAAGTAGAAGCGTTCCTTAGAGTCTTTAGAAAATCCAAAGACTATGCATTACAGCCAAGTGGTATGCCACTGGACAGGAAGAGCTCCTTGGCAGACTAGATTTTTATACTATTTTGACACCATTCATCTCTCATAACCTCCTACCTTGGCACTGATGAAGGAATGGTGACTGTGCTGAAGGAAACATTGTAATCCTACCTGAGAGGTAGAGTTATGTGACATCACTTTGACATGTCCTGGGGATTAATCGTCTGTATCTGGACCCACAAAGGGCACTAAAAGCCCAATATCAGGAGTGTGGTTCAACGTTAGAGTCACAGGATCATATTCTTATTGTTTGCCCCACACTCTTAGTTCATTCTATCCTGGGCTACTTAAGGAGCCATCTTTTCCTTCTACCAGATTAAAGGAAACATTCTAACCCAACACTTTCTATAACCACCAAGCATTTAGCATGGAGCCAAGGAAATACCAAATAAATGATGTTAGAAATATATTCAAGAGTGAATTATGGGGAAAATGGGTAAAAGTAAAGTCATAGACTTTTTAGCAAAATATAGAAAATGATTATGACTACATGAGCTATGATTTTTAGATGCAAAATAATGCAAATAATTTCCTTTGCATATATGCATGTGTATACATATAAACATATAAGCATACAATGTTAGATGCACCTTATTATTAAATTTCCTTGGGATATGAAAGATGAGAAAAATTATTTTTCCATGTGCAATAATTTAGCCTTCAGCGAAAAGATTAAAAAATATCTCTGCAGTTGGGTGTAGTATAAAGAAATGAGTGACATTTACAGATTTCAGCTTCCAAACACCGTTAAATGTAATTCTTTTCCTAGATGTGTGTCAAAGTTACAAACTTTTCTCAATTCTTAATAATGGCTGATGATATGCCCTGAGTAGAAAAATGATAATCTAATCAATCACACACTGAATTAACTTCCAAATAGGCAGAGTAAAAACACTTGGGAGTCAGTATTTCAACTGATAAAAGCCTAAACCTAAAGTTTCAGACAAGAGACTATCCCTCAAGGCATCCTGTAAATCACTTTTAAGTCACATAGAATGTTTCTTAATTTATTCCTACAAAATTGCCCCCAGTAACCTTTTTGTTACAAAGTATTTTCAGGTTTCCCCCAGATTTCCAAATTCCTGATCTAGCAAATTCTCTATTCCAGCTTCGTTTCTCCTGTCTCTTCCATATCTGAACTGCTTTTTATCAGTTTCAAAATCTGTTTCCTAAGTGAGAAGGTAGGCTCTTCTCATGATACGAAAATCTATTGTAAGTTATTATCTCATGATGCTACTGCCCGTGAATTCAGAAACGCATGGAATCGACATACGAGAGTGCTGAACTGTCCTTGCATCAATTTTAGTTGCTGTGGCTGAGATAAGAAACTGTAGAAAAAAATGGACTTTCAAAACCACACACACACACACACACACACACACACACACACACACACACACACACACACATCCCATCCCCATTCTGTGGCAAGCAACGGTTTGAGCCTCAGGTTTTCACAAATAGGTTACACACGATGATCTGTATAGGGTCAGATGCTCAGGGAATGATCTGTAAATATGGAAGAATTATGATTACAAACGTGATGGGAATCTCCAGAGTCAATGAATGTGTAGGACCTTAAAAACACTAAGGTAATGGCAAGATATGGCGACTTGAATTTATTCTTCAGAGGAATATCTTCTCCATGGACAGTTGAGTGGTGGATCAAGCCCTCTCCTAAAGGGACTCGCTTTGTGGATGAATACATGTCTGCTAGCCTTGGATGAGAATAGTAGAAAATACAGACATCAGAGTTTCAGGAACTATATTGTAGCTAGAAGGAGAAAAAGCAACCTGGAGGAGAGATGGACCAACGCAGATGATCTGCTAATCGTGGAACACTTCACCTATCCCCCAGCTGCTCTCACTGACAACAGTCTGTGAAACCACCTTTGTTGATGAAAATATTTTCCTGCATTATCTAACTTATTGGTTAGGTAGGTGTTTTTCACAGGATATTGGAATCTCACAAGGTTAGGTATGACTTGGGAGTGACCGGGCTTTGATTTTTTTTTTTTTTAATTTCCGATTAAGTAACTACTCTGGATTAACAGAACCATAGCCAAAAAGAAAAAAAAAAAAAAAGAAATTGAATGAAGGGCCGATGTTCAAACCTCAACTCCAGAATAAACAAATACTTGACTTCACCCCCAATATCATGTGTACGTAATATATACAATACTGAATGAATAACAGCTTTCTGACTGGATTTCAGGTCTTCTTCACAGGGTCTAGTACTGCAATGCTGGTCAAAAGCCCATGGCCTGAGAGGTCATAAGTGCTAGAATAGAATCTACTCTTATTATTTTGCTAAATTTATGTTTATACCCATAGGCAGAGGCTGCTCTCAACCCCAGTCAGTGCTGTGGGATGGTCTGTATGTCAAGTGTGTTGTTGATTGGTCAATAAGTAAATCACTGATTGGCCAGTGGCCGGGCAGGAAGTGTAGGCGGGACAAGGAGGAGAATAAAGCTGGGAAGTGGAAGGCTGAGTCAGAGAGACACTGCCAGCCGCCATGATGACAAACAGCATGTGAAGATGCCGGTAAGCCACGAGCCATGTGGCAAGGTATAGATTTATAGAAATGGGTTAATTTAAGATATAAGAACAGTTAGCAAGAAGCCTGATACGGCCATACAGTTTGTAACCAATATAAGTCTCTGTGTTTACTTGGTTGGGTCTGAGCGGCTGTGGGACTGGCAGGTGAGAGAGATTTGTCCTGACTGTGGACCAGGCAGGAAAACTCTAGCTACAAGTCAGGGAGCTTCTTTTTATAGTGGACGGCAGTCATTGCAGAGATGCATAACTGGTCAGAGTGCTGAGAAGAAGAGGCCAAGTGCTAAACCAAAAAGGGACATCTATACCAGCACTCCACCCTGACCAGGCTCAAGGGGCATTGCAGAAGAGCAGAGAAATAAGAATAAATAGGTGGGGGATAGGAAAGAATACTGTGAAATGCCCTCTTCTGGATATGACATGGTTATCATGTTTCTGTATTCACACCAACTCCGGTCATCTCCACAAGACCTACACAAGATAAAGGTAGGCAAAACTCCCACATGGACAGGGAAGCCGATCTATGGGCCTCACTCCTTCTCAAAGAGCTACTGGCAGTTGATAGCTTCTGGGGGAAGGGAGAAATCTTCTCCTTTGAAGGAGTGGCTACTCATAGGTGTTCCATGCTCCAGTGAATGACCACCCATCCAGGCACATACAGGCAGTATTACTAACTGTACTTTTAGTTAGTTTTAAAAGACAAGAGGTTAGGAATGAGAGGGCTGGGAGATGATTTGAGAGAAGTATGAAGGAAGAATTGGAAGAGGAAGTGTATATGGTCATATTTCATATTCCATTGTACACATGTAAGAAATTCTCAAAGAATTAATCAAGAGAGAATCTATTTCCAAGCAGCTATTCTGTGTTTTGTCTTACCCTATCTGATATCATCTTCTCAGGTTTCTCAATGAGAAATGCAGAACATATGTCTGCTATATACCTCCAAAGGACAGTTCAGAAATGAGTGGTGGGAAGAGCATGGCCACGGCCTTCTCACAAGGCTGGGGGCAGGTGTCAAGGATTCCTAAAACCAGCATAGAAGAGGGGTATTATAACAGACTAGGGCAGGATTGCCACTTGGGCATCTCATTTCTGTATAGAGCCCCTTCCCATCAGACATCACAGTGGCAATTTCTTTCTGACATGAGACAAGAATGGATGAGAGTATAGAATTCTCACATCTCCTTTTGTGGAGATTGCTCAAATATTCCCCATCTGCCCTTTAATGTGCCATTGTCTCCTCTCCTGCTCTCCTTTTACACACATCTCTCCCCATCCCTCAATTTCTTTTCTTATTCGGTTCCCTTTGGTAGAGATTACTTCAAACAAACCTTCACCAGACCAACTCTTGATTCAGCCTTCATATCAAGGCCTCAAAATAAAGTTTCCCCAGGGAGGAATTCCCGAGAGTCTAACCTTTCTGGTGCAGGCTGGAGTACTGCCTCTGGGCTCCCATAATAGCCCTACAGCATCTGTGAGGCCCATCGATTTTAGTTACCACTTGATTTTGCTAAGCTATGAGCTGCTAGAGTTACCAATGATCTTAGCACAGAGAGGCCCTCACACAGATGTATTTAGTTGAGCAATGACTTCATGAAAGAAAGCAATGACAGATGGGTGTGTGGAAGAATGGGCTCCACCTTATAGTTTCACTTTCAAGGCTATCTGCTTATTCTTCCGCAGACAATGCCAATCATAATTGTACAACACCCTGCTCTAGCCACAGCTTCAGCCCAGCTCTTCCTTGATAAGATCATAACAACAAGTGGGTCCTTCTTGAGTTCTCTACTTCACATGTCTCCGGGGTCCTGTCTGGCACAGACAGAAGCTCAGAAACTCGTGGAATTATAGAAATCTATAGGATGTGTTTTTCCTTCTATCCTTTCCCATGTTCTCAGCACTACACCTGATTTCAGCCTGCCACTGAGGTCATTGACTCCAGACTGGCTTTGGGTTTCTGTCTCCTCCTTTGAGTTTATTTGGCTCATGAACAACAAATTCCAAATAATCCCAAGGTTAGTAATGTTTATTTCTAACTAGTTTGGGGAAACTACAAATCATACAAACAAAACCCAAAAATAGAACTGAGGATGGAAACATACTGGCTCGTTACCTTGGCAGGCATTTTGTTTATCATTTTTATAACCAATAATATAATGTCCATGTTTACATTATACATATATATTATGTATATTGATATATATATTATATATATACTTTAATAGAAAGAGACATAAAAAAGCCTTTTCAAATGAGGCATGACACTTAATACTTGACATTCTTATTTATAATACATGAGTACACTTTCTACATGATGATGGTGGATTCTCAGATGCCAGTTAGGGTTTACAAAGACAGCAGGAAACCTAAAAGAGGTGTTCCATGCAGCTGAACGGTTATTGCCATTAGTTCTCACTAGTCCAGACAGCATATTGAAGTTAAAAATGGCATCTGATTATTGGTAAAGACGATGATCATCAGACTCATCCTGGCTCCATAAGTACTACATAGTCTTTCAAATGACCAGGGTTGACAAATGCTGCTGATGAGGATTGGAAACAAAACAGAAAATGAGCATATCAGACCAGACGGGCAGGGCTCTGTACATATCCAGAAAGGAGAACTTGCTACAGATTAACCATGCTGCATTAAGCAACAGCACTTGTCTGAGTCAGAAGATCCTGGGTTGCGTGACTAGGAAAAAAAAGTGTTCTCCAAGAAATGAAGCCAACATGTCAGTGCCACTGAGCAGAGTCCGTGTCAAGCCCTGACTCGGGAACTCAGGAAAATGCCCAATGAGAACTGCATGCATTAAAACCAGGTTATTAAGAAATTCAGAAAAGACCCATAGAGAAGTCCTGAACCCACTGTAGGGAGGTCTACCTTTGCAAAGCCTTCAGCTCCCCTCCCAGACCACCCACATGTTTACTCTCCTGAAAACTAATGGTCTGAACTCATTTCCCATGGTCTGAATTTATTCACTGCGTGCACCCAGACTCCCATAGCTTTCTTCCCATGGGATCAGTGACCTGGAAACCCAGTTCAGGTGCCCAGAGCAGGCAGATTTCCATACTGAGCAGGTCCTTCTGCAAAAATTTGGGGTGGGCTTTGTCTTCAGTGTGATCATCCATGCTGCCCTGGTTCATGCATTTCTTCTGTACAGCTAAATGTTCGTCCTTCTGACTTTACCCTACATAATGCACTTAGATGGGGACAGTTTTAAATATCCTGGTTATTTTCAAAATTTCTGCATCAGTCACTTACCAATAACACTTGAAGTTGGGTCTTCACTCTGGTTTTTGTTCTCCAGTCTGATCTCACTTTTGCCTCTGCTATCTATTAGTTTTTACAAATGTGGTCTTTCCTAGCCCTTTATTTTCCTAAGGCAAGAAGACATCACTATTGAAAGATAACAGCACCCTTCTTAGAGCTCCCCTGAGGTTCTTTACCCAGCATGCCTCCCTTGGGATATCTTTCTCCTTCCAGGGGGAAGAGAAACAGCTGGCCATGTTAATGGTTTTGAAATGTTGCTCTTGCTGTCAAGACTAAAACAGCATTTCTTTGGAAATGCGTCAGCAGGAGTTTCACACACGAATACATTCATCCCACTGCCTCCTTCTGCCAGGTAGAGTCTCTCTCGGTCTTCCCTACTTCAGACAGGACTTTGGGCATTCACAAAAACAATTTGTGGACCAGGCTATGCATAGAAAAAGTTTAAGGAAGTAGGTGGAGCAATTGGTTCAATATGCTCCCTACAGCTGTTTCTGTTTACACCAAACCTGTATTTACCAGCAGTATCATCTTTATCTCCCTCTTCCTTAAGTCACCCTACCTACTGCTGCTAGACAATAACATGTGGACTTGTCACACTTTCCCTTGTCCTTTAGAAAACATGGAGAGGATAAGAGCATGTATAGAACAAGTTTTTGAACAAGTGGTATGTTGGATCTATTAAGGGTTCTATTTACAGGAAGATACCCCACTTCCACACAGAAGTTAACCTGAGTTCTGAAATGTTTGTGTGCACTTAATTGAATCAACACATGATAAAGCTATGACCTAGTAACAGACTGGGGAAATCTAGGTAAGTTGGATCAATTCCCATGAGCCAGGGTGGTTATAAAGCTGGGCTCATCAATGGCAAATGTTCTGTTTCTTATTTTCTCAGTTTGTCCCTAGAAACATCTTGAATGAGACTCTAGGTAGCTTGACAAATTCAAGAAAACATTGTTGTCTTTTACACTGTTTGTTCAGCTTCCCCAATGTCTCAATTACACATTTCTCTAGTGTCCAGTCCCACCCCAGCTTCATCCTTCCACACCCTCCATCTCCTTCTATTCCACTCTGGAATTCAGAGGTATGGAAAAGCATGACGTAGCTAAGAACTGAACTGATCTTAAACAGCTCTGGCCAGTCACCCAGGCTGCTCCCTGGAGGGCACTACTTGAAATAGTTGAGTCCTGCCACCAAGAAAAACTTCTCAAGGAAGAGTTCCGAGTCCAGCACAGCTATATGAGCTGCACGGCCAATCAGAGTGTTGGCAGTGTTGGGCAGAGCATGGAACACGTTATGTCTGATCAAAGTGCAGCCCTTAGCTTCCACCAGGGGGCCCAGGAGGTTGTTGATCATTTCTGCATACACTGGCCCTGGAAGGAGGGAAGAAAGAAAGGAAATGAATAGAATTCCACAGTACAGTCTAAAGAACAGCTTTGCATGTGTGTTGGCAGAGTACATAATGGACTAAGTTCAAACCTTATGCTACTGGGTGCAAATAAATGAAGAATGGAATCCAATTTCTCTCTAGAGATCGCAATTGGTAGGGTTATCATGCTTTTCTTCAGATGACATAGTGGCCTGGTGTCAGAAGCCAAAGGCCAAGTGAGAGAGATTCCTAGAGGAGTGCTATCTCTCAGCACAGGAGCAAGAGAAAGAAGACTCAAGTACAAGTCCTCGGAGATTCAATTTCTGCTTCAGAACACCAAGGGGGCTGGATCCATATGTAAATCAGTCATGAAAGATAACACTTCCTAATGTCAAATTTTAAGGTCAAACAGCATTTCATTAGCCCCTGGTTCTGTCGGAAAGGGAGGGGTAATGCAGGATTGTTGCTGTTAGGTTGCTTTATTTTTATAATTAAAAGACTCAGTTGACTGTGTTTATAAGAAGTGACTCAGTTTCAGATTGGCTTTGGATAGTAGGGCATAGAGACATGCAGTAACAGAAATAATTGAGCAATGAACAGTGTGCACACATCAGAGTCTGCAGTCTACATCTCATCCATCTGCTTTATTCCTGCAGCATCTTCATGGCAAATTTTATGCTCCATTGGGACACCTGCTGGAATGATACTGAGGGCCAAGGTGGGCTTCTGACTCAGTTCAGAAGGTAGAAACCAAAGCTATTACATAAGCCTCCAGGTGTCCATTCCAACTGAGACTTGTGTCATCAAGCCAGTATGGTACTCTGAATTTTCACAGAGAGCGGCAACTCTATTGAATGCTCCAGTCAACTCCAGACATTACTCCATTGCACATGAACAACCTCACACTGCTTCCCCCTCCCCTCAACTAATCATTGGTGCACACCAATCGGGCTGTTTCCCTGCTGGGAGGGTACTGAACTGCATCACATGCTGAGAACACTGCTTTTAGCATCATTCTCCTCTTTTAAAGTCTTGATAGTTCTGAGGCTGAGGAAGCTAAAATGCCAACTGAAATAATCTTAGATTTCTTTGTGGAAATATTTGTCCTAATCTTACCAATTTGTCTGGGGGAAAAAATGGCTTGTGGTTGGAATAAAAGGAATTCTGCTTCCAAAGAGTCTATATGACTGCTTTAGAATAGCAGCCAATACATGTCATAAAATCATATGCACACAGTATTGCTATTAGAGAGAAAATTGACATCAATCAAAAGTCAGTATAAAAGAACCAGATGATGGGGAAGAGGTGGGAAAGGATGGACTCTAAATGTGGTATAGCTGTTGCATTTATGAACTCACAGAAGCTGCTGTGACCTGCACAATATCAAACCAGTTAAAAATTCTAGCATGGAGGGAGAAAGGGGCTCCAGAGGCCCCACCCATATGAGAAGCTATTGGCACCTGATGGTTCTCAGTAGGTGACCCTAGCTGGACACCACATATCCATGTGTATATGAGCAACGGTAATTGAACTTAGTGGGTTATTTAAAAAAAAAGAAAAAAAAAGACATGAAATTGGATGGAAATGTGTTGGGGAGTGCTGGGGGGAGGAGATGGAGGGAGGAAATGGGGGTGGATATGAGCAAGATACATTGTATATATGTATGAGCAAAAATAAAACACTTTTTTAAAGGAATGGCTGATAGGTTAGTAGGTAAACCATGCTTGCTGATCTGGTCAGAAGAGTCCTTTTACAGATGCCTTTAACAACAAGGATAACACCTGCATGTTATGACATAATGGAAATAGAAGCAGAGTAATGTTCTATCAATATTATAATCTGTTTATATCATATATGCAACAGGGCCCATTAAGTCACTCATAAAATAGGCAAAGTCACTCAAAATGTAGTGATTCCTCTAGCAATCATTTTCTGCTGAGACACATTGTTGCCTTTAACCCAGAGGTGGTCCCTGGTAATTATTTTTAAATATACATAGTACATCCTTAATTATTTTTCTCAAATAAAGCACTGCTTTCATGTTGGTTGACTTTCAGGGTAGGAACAAATTGTCTGCATGACTATTTGGTGACGAAATGAAGAAGTGACTGCTGTGGATGATTGATTGATAAATAAAATGCCGATTGGCCAGTAGCCAGGCAGGAAGTATAGGCAGGACAAAGAGGGAGGAGAATTCTGGGAAGTGGAAGGCTGAGACAGAGACATGCTGCCAGTCACTGATGAGGAGCAGGATGTAAAGTACCGGTAAGCCATGAGCCATGTGGCAAGATATAGATTAATAGAAATGGGTTAATTTAAGATAGAAGAACTAGATAGCAAGAAGCCTGAGCCATTAGGCCAAACAGTTTAATATAAGCATCTGTATGTTTATTTTATAAGTGAGCTACGGGACTGCTGGGGCTTGGCAGGTCCTGGAGAGAAACTCTCCAGCCACAAGTGGCAAAGAGACAGGGGAGGTTAGGAGATTTACCGCAGAATTTTTAGAAAGTAGGATTTTCAGCAATACTTAATGAAAACAAAAGTAACGAAATGAACAAGATCTTCCCACATAGATAAATCTATGAATTAAGATAAATGTCATTGACAATTCATTTAAAAGTGTAACATAAGCATGACTATAGGAAAAGAGGGGGCTGTATCTCTCCCTATCACTGGAAGGATTTAAATCGTAGATGAATATTCTTTAAAGAGGAGCAGCAAGCAAGTATCTCCAAAATGGAACAGAGTGGTATAAAAGGTGTTATCTTAGCAATAACTTTGGGCTAGTGTTTAACAAAAATCTCAGATGCTTACAGCGTGAGTCATTCCAATTCCAGGGGACACCATCCTCTGCAGACCTTACTGAGTACCCAACCTATGCCATTCTCTTTTCCTCTATGAAAGTAGAATTACTTCTTTCACAGTTAAGAGGAAATGCAATGTGCAAAGGGCATAGAACTGTCCCTGACACAGGAAGACCACAGTGCCTGGCACTTCCATTCTAACACAGGGCAGCCATAACTTGTTAGCACATGCCAAGGCTCACAAGACATCATACAGGAGTGTCACCAACACATGGCTTGCATTTGGCGCTGAAACTTGCAATGTAAGCAAATGGGTGTGACTGTGGGTTATATTTAGCAAATAGGGCATAAATTTGAGGGGCTCTGTATTAAGCATTTACAAAGCTCAAACATCACCAAAACTACTTGAGGTCAAGGAGATAAGACATTAAGCAAAGAAGGTTAGTGAATGACCACAGAAGGAAAAGGCGTGGCAGCCTTAGCAGTGGCATGGTCTTCTGGCAGTGATGTGTTCTGATCAAGTCTGAACTTAAAACCAGATCACTGACTCTTTTACAAGGGCCTTAGAGTAGAGCAGTATGCTCTGGGCAATAATAAATCTAAAAATCAGTCATCAAAAAGCATCAAATCAAGTTTGGTTTGAAAATTACTAATAAATGTCTTTAAATTAGTATCTCAGAAACAGAAGAAAGACTGCTTCTAGGGCACCCTGGTACAACAGGATAGGTGGAGTAATTATTTCAAGAGACAGTTTGGCTTAAATTAATTACTGTTTTTGCTTGAGTAGCATGCACAAACACAGAAAGGCTTCTACTGCAATAAGGTTTTATGTTTCTAAACAAGAAGGACCATATAGGTTCAGTAAATTGTAAATTTTTATTTAAGTTATAATATATCCATAAAATAAGCAGAAATTTTAAAAATGTGTGTCTGTATGATAATTTAAGTACAGGGAATTGAGTATAACATTATGCTAAACAAATCATGATTAAAAATTGTAGCTGTGTGTGTGTGTGTGTGTGTGTGTGTATGTGTGTGTGTGTGTGTGTGTGTGTGTGTGTGTGTGTGTGTGTGTGTTTTGTACATTGTTGAGTATACGTAAACATGGGTGATTGGAGCAAAAGGTCACCCATCAGCAGGTGTCTTACTCTATCACTCTCTGCTTTATTGTTTTAGGCAGGATCTCCCACCTAAATGGGAGCTCACCAGTTGGCTAAGCTAAATGACCAGTGAGCCCCAGGACCATTCTTCTCTCAGCACTGGGATTACAGACATACAAAGTCACGCCTAGCCGTTTAATGCTTAGGATCCAAACTCAAGTACTCAAGCATGTACAATAAGCACTTGATCTAATGAGCCATCATCAAAGCCCTTATGGCTTACAAATCTACCACTTTTAAGTTGGCACATTCATACAAAGAGATTAGAAGAGAATGATGAGGGGGTAAAGGGGAGGAGCAGAAGAATTAACGTTATTGGATAAAATAGGTTTGATTTCTCCAAATACTCTATGAATGAATACTTTATTTTTTCAGATCTCTTTCTATGTGTATGTGTCTGTGTATGTGTGTCTGTGTCTCTCTGTGTACGTGTATATTTGTCTGTGTCTGTGTGTGTGACTGTGTGTGTCTGTGTATGTGTGCTTCTCTGTGTGTGTGTCTGAATGTGTGTGTGTGTGTTCACACTCTCATGTGTATGTGAGTGCATCTGTGTATAACATATGTATGTAGGTGCTTTGAGATGGCAGAAAAGGGCATTGGATTCCCTAGAGCTAGAATTACAGGTGGCTGGGAGCTATCTGATGTGGGTACTGAAATAGAACACAGGTCCTCTGCAAGAGCAGTACATGCTCTTAATCACTGAACTATCTCTCCAATCCTCTTTGGAAAATATTTATTTTTAATAGTTTTCTATTTTGAAGAGTAATTTTCTGACCATGTGTGGCAGCAGAAGCAGGAGGATCTCTGTGAATTTAAAGCCAGCCCTGTCTATGCAATGAGTTCAGGCCAACCAGGGCCACATACTGAGACTTTATCAAAAACAAACAAACAAGCAAACAAATGAAAAAAGTAAGTAATTTTTGTGACATGCCTTGGGTTGCTTTCCAGAACACATACTAGACTGTAAAAACCACAGTGCTATTTTCTGTATTTAAATAATTAAGGTGATTTTCCACCCAAGTCTCTGTTAGGTTTTCCTTGATTTCAACAGAAATTTTGAATGTTTGCATGTGAGTACCTAGTTTGGGGACCTTTGACAGACTCTTAAAAAAAATCAGAATATAAAAAAGTCAGAATATAATGAAAAGCACTTACTTTTGAAACAGTAAAATGTATTTATAGATATAAACTAATCAACCAAAGGAAACAAGGAATGTTAGCCCATCTCCTGGTCCCGGTTGCCTAAGAAACTCCTGACACTCTAATCAGTTAACTTCTCTACGGAACCCCAGTAGTCTCCACTCCTTGTCTCATTTCCCACTGGTAAAATTTGACTGTATTACACACTATTTCCTCTCTTTATCCATTGCACTTTGCTCTCAACACCTTTGCTTCTCTGGTGCTCTAACTAGACAATAAAGTCCTTCGAGGGCAGAGTCCATCTCCCATGTCTGTATCCATCCTTCTCTTTTCCATGGACAACACACAAACGGAGCTCACCAGTTTTCCAGGCATCTGACAAGCAAATGGCTGCTCATATCACATGAAGGAAATACCCAGACTGTTAACAGGAATGTGTGCTCACCCAGACAGTGTGGTTAGCCCCCAACTCCATTCTAGACTCAGCACAGCTGTGCAGGCTACCTGGAGCCTGAGCCCAGCTGTTATTAACAAATATACTCAAGATTTCATAAATTTACTTTCACTTTGAAAATTAGAAAGTCTCTGTCAAAAGGAAATGTAGCTTACCTGTGTGTCTGTCTTTGAGGGCCGTTTTACACATTTCGATCCTGGCTGAATGAAATGGCACGTAACGGTCTTGGGGAGAAGCAACCAGAACAACGTTTTTAAAGTACTGCAGCCCTGTAACAAGAAGGCAGGTGAATGCTTTCTATCGAGGTCCTTTACTCTGACACCCGCTCTGGGTTGTATACATTTTGAAGTCTTCCTCAGAGAGTGGCAGTGAGGAGACACCAGACACTGTGATGTACCCCTGCACAGAGCTGATGTTCTGAGTGTCACCACATACGGCTCGGGAGGAGGCAGAGCAGGCACCTGTGAGAAGCTGAGCAAGGAACTCAGTATGTTAAGGCTTTTTTTTTTGTGTTTTTGGACATAAGACAAAGTCCTTGACCCCAGGAGTATAGAAGCCATGGAGACTCACTGTGAGCACTGAGAAAAATGCAAAAAAGGTATCGAGCTATGAGAACAAAACATGTCTCTGTGAGGTAGAAAATTAGGGAGCCCATAGGGAAAATGGTTTTCTCTTTCTCATTGTTCCTGGTTCTTTAATCCTAAGCCTCTCCTGCTCTGTCACCTGAAGTAGGAAAGCCTTTTGCCTCGCCTCCTCCAGCCTTGCCTCCACCAAGCTTGCCTTCTCCAGCCTCATCCAGCTCCAGCATTGCCTTCCTGCATTGTTCCCCACAGGGAGCATGGAATATCTTCCAACCCAAAAGTCAGCACAGCACAACGATGCAACCTTCAGTATTCATTATGGACATCTGGGAACAGTGCACAGCACACTGTCCTCAACCCTCACCTGAAGATGGAGCTCTTCTTCTTCTCCTACCTATAGCCAACAAGATGGTGGCTGACGGCCCTTGCTGACCCTCTCTGTAGGCCCTCACATCCATATCCAAGATCACAGCTGAGCATCACACACTGGAGCAGCATCCAGGGCAATGGCTGGCTGATATGGGCACAGGATGGACAAAGGTAATCCCATAATCTACTTCAGTACAGAACTGTAACAGCACTCCAGCTCTTGACCACTCCATGGCTGAAACAAGCTTTGACTTCTGTGCTGAACTCATTGCAATCAGTATCTTTGTATGCCCAATCCTACCTCTCTTTCTCCCCACAGTAGGTAACTGAATAATCCTCTGGGGGCAGGGGAGACACAAGTACAAAAGGAATAGCGTGAGCTTGTAAATGAATTGAATACAGGGTATCAACAAGTGCTCCCTTCCTGCACACAGATGACTGGTCCATTATTGACACTTTCCTCTGCTATAGTCTCTATGATCTGGGCTGGGTTTTCACACTGCTCTTTTACATCATCACCACAGGGTGAGGGAAAATATAAAAGGAAGCTCATGTGGGAACACAGATAATGTTCTGCTCACTCTTTTTCAGGATGGGTCTACACCAGGTGAAGAGGATCTATACATACAAGGTGAGGGTGGAACACAGTCCTGGACCTGCCAATATAGTGCACTACATGATTGACCAGAAGTAGAAGCCAAAGCTTCTTCTGTGTACTGTATTGAACCTACACACACCATGGCTCCTATGCTACACAGGGGACAGACTGAGACCGGCTGACATGCTGGGTAGCTTTTGGCCTCTCAGCAAGTTGAAGAGATGCGGCTGGGCAGTCTCAGCATACCTCACAGGAGCAAATGAACACAGTATCAAAGTGAATTGTCTCAAGGTCTCAACCTCAGATGCCTAGCAAGCCACACACCTGTTTTTTGGCTAAGTTGGTAAAGGAAACATTTGCGCAAATCAGCGTTATCCCTGAAGGTCAGCTGCAAAAGGGAGCCAGATTTCTTCAGTTTCTGCATGAGCCACAAGCCTAGGAAGAGAAAAGGAAAATGAAGATTAAAAAAGAAAAGTCAAACAAAGCCAAAGAAGGTATTTTTGGTGCATGCCTATATGCAGATAGAACACTGATACATAAAATATATTAAAAAAGGAGAAAAGATATTTTGAGTTAGCTTAAAATAGAGTGTGGTTAATATATTGTGCACCGCAATAAACTTATCTGGGGGTCAGAGAACAGAATAGGCACTATATTAAACATAGAGGTTAGGCAGTGGTAGCACACGCTTTTAATCCTAGCATTCAGGCGGCAGAGATCCATTTGGATCTCTGTGAATTCAAAGCCACACTGGAAACAGCCAGGCATGGTGACATACGCCTTTTATCCCAGGAAGTGATGACAGGAAGCAGAAAGGTATATAAAGTGTGAGGACAAGGAACTAGAGTCCTGTTAAGCTTTTAGGCTTTTAGCAGCATTTCAGCTAAGATCCATTCAGGTGAGGACTCAGAGGCTTCCAGTTTGAGGAAACAGGATCAGCTGAGAAGTTGGCAAGGTGAGGTTGGCTGTGGCTTGTTCTGTTTCTCTGATCTTTCAGCGTTCACCCCAATACCTGGCTCCTGGTTTGTTTTTATTAATAAGGCCTTTTAAGATTCATGCTACAATAGCAATGTGACTTTTATCAAATAATTAAGTTTGTATATCTTGTATATCTATATTTTTATTTTGGTGTGTGTGTATTATATTTGAGTGTGCACACAGAGATCAGAGGAGACCATCATGTGTCTGATGAATATGAGGTGCTTTTTTTTATCACATCCTATTTTATTCCCCTGAGACAGAGTCTTTCTTTGAACATGGAGGAAGGCTGGCAGCAGCAAGCCCCAGAAACCTTGTGCAGCCAGTGTTCTTATCCAATGACTCATGTCCCCAGTCCCCATATTTACATTCTTAGAGTTGGTATCAGGAGTATAAATTGTCCTACAAAAGTACACAGCAATAGGCTTCTAAGTCCATGAAACCATGAATACTCTGATATTCATTTGTTCTCTTTCAGTAAAGGAAGCCAAAGGAAAGAACACCCAATAAAAGTCTACAGACTGAAAAAATAGAATATATATTTCTGACAGATCCCATGCAGTGCTTATGCAGATGCTTACAAGTGTATATTATGTATCAACAACAAAGGAATGAATACTATAATGACATGAAAAAGTTTTAATATATACATATATATATATATATATATATATATTTGTAGAGAGAGAAACATATATCACAGTGGTTGATATGTAGATGTCCACATATGTAGAAAAAACGTAATATGAACCACATGGAATTAATTACTTTAGGTATTCTAAGTTGGATGAGTTTGGTAATATATCTTTTTAAAACTTTTTGTATTCAAGTTTACAATTATGAGGGAGAAAGTAGCTAAATTAATTTATCTTTGCCCAAAGATGGCTTTGGGTTTGTTCCAAAGAAAAGATGCTATATTTGCTATGTATAAAAGTGCCAAATAAGCCATGAGCACAAGGACCATCCTTAAGAAACTGGAGCGAATAATCATGAGTCTGAGTCACACCTTGAAGAAAGTTGCAGAGTTATTGGGAAATATGGGGAAAACTGAAGGATTAGCATGGAGAGAGAGCTCATTAGAGGTGACCACAATGCCACATAAAGGTTCTAGCCAATCAGGAAATACATAGCCCTGTTTCACTTTTTAAGTTCTCTTTGCTCACTTTGAAAGCTATTTTGGTTTTTAAATTGGGTTGCTTGTTTTATTGGGGTTTAGGGTTTTTAGGTCTTTGTATATTCTAGACACCAATCCTCTTGCCAGATATATAGCTAATAAATATTTGTCTCCCATTCTATAGGATGTGAGGGGTTGGATCTCAAGGAGTAGAAGGTGAATATGGTCAAAATACATTGTATACATGTATAAACAATGTATTAATGAAACATTAATCAAACAATTAATGAAAACATTCCATTGTTAAGAAATATGATTTAACTGACACTAATCATTACTGTATATGGACAAATATCTTGTGTGTGTTTCTGAATGTAAAACCAGTTGCTAAAACCATTAGCAATGTCTATGTGATCTGCACATGTGTCTAGCATCTTGCCTTCATCATCTGGCTGTGGGCAGGCACTCCATCCATCTTGCCCTGTGGAGTGTTGTGGTTCTATCCCTGAGAATTTCCTTCAGTTTGTTGATTAAACCAGCCTTCCAGGCCATTACATACACTAGAAAACCTTCCTAGAACCTGCTGCCTTAGAAATCCTGCTCATGTTGCATCAAGCCTCTCTCCTCCTCCTTCCCAATTCCTACCCCTTCCACTGCTTCCTCTTTCCTCCCTCCTCCTCCTCTTCCTTCCATTTCCTTGTTTTCTTCCCTCGTCATTCTTTTCTGGGGTCCTGGGGATCAAACCTAGGGTCTTGGGAATACTAGGCTAGCACTGTAACATGAGATACACCCCCAGCCTAGGCCTTGCTTCTTTCCCCTCTATACCCCCAAAGTCTCTTACAATACCGTTGAAGGTATGAGGGCCTCAAAAAAAAGGCAAGCAGGCAGTACAGAATTCAGTTATTTATGATCTAGAATAGATGATAGCAAGTCTGCTTCATAATTTTCCTTTTGAATCCTCAATGTGCATTCACCCACTTACACAACCATGAATGCATGCATGCATGTGCACACCCACACATGTCAGATCTTGGTACAGATGAGTTCCACATCTGCAGAGTCAACACACCAAGGGTTAAAAGTCTTTTTGCAATAGTTTTGTCTCCTGGACATTTTTCTGGACACTATCCATAGACAATACTTTACATCATTTTTTTGCGTAGCATTTGAATTTTATTAGGAATTAAAATCAGTCTGGAGATGATATAAAATATGAGGAAGGATTGTCTAGGTTAGATTTAAAAACTATGAGAATTTACAGGAGATACTTAAGAATTTTCAGCTTTTGGTATCTGTGAGGGTCCCAGAACCAATCAGCAATAGATACTGAAATATAAATATGAATGCACACACATATTCCATGAATGTTTAAACACATATATGACATATGTGATATGATTATACACAATACACTATACTGTAAACATATATACACATATGCAAACACGCATTAGGTACACATAATCTCCATTTCACAGAAAGTAAATGAATATTGAATATTGAAGGGTGAGAGGGCTTAATCAAATTTAACAGTTAGAAGACAGGCTCCACATATGAGAGCAAACATGCAGTATTTGTCTGGATATTAGCTTAGTGTGCTATTTTTCAATTTTCTCTATTATTTCTACTAATTTCATAATTTCATTTTCCTTTATGGTTGACTAAAACTCCATTGTGTATATGTACCCACACTGTCATACCAAATCTCCACCCACCATCCCACATTAGGGAAAGCCCTAAGATTCCATCAGTAGCTTCTGTCTCCAGTTCCACCTTCCTGACACCTCTGATGAACTCTGAAGGATAATGAGGATGACAAAGTCTTACCTGTACTAACCAGGGTGCTGTTGTTGTACAGAGTCCCCAAGTGAGGTCCAGACAGTGACAGGAATGTGTGGAGTTTGTTGAGGTAATACCGGAACCGGGGCCTCGTGAGGACCGATCTGATGATAATGTTACCAAGGGAATGGCCAATGAAGCTGTTTAGAGACAGGAAAGATACATGTGAGTGATGGCAGGGAACTGCTGCTCAGGGATGCATTAGAGTGAGAAGCACCAAGGTTTTAGCATCTTCCCCCAGGTACAGAGGACCTAACATATGACTGCCACAGATTCATTTTCATCCAGTTTTTGTGAATGGAAGCTCTAGGCAAATACATTGAGGTGCAGGAGAATTGTAGTATCTCCATTATTAGAGCAATCCCCCTGAGGGTCTGGTCCCCAGGCCTCCTCTCAGCCCATCTGGAGACAGCATGGAGTCCTTTCTGAAATCCATGTATCTAAGCACTGTGCTCTCTTGATCATTTACAAGATAAAATCCCAGTCTTAGCCTTTCCCAGGAGGCCATTCATCATCTCAGCTCTGACGACTGCTCTGACTCCACTCATCCCCTCATTTCTCTCCACACCTGCTGAGCTGTCTGCTCTCACTTACACTGATTGGTCATTCTCCTCCATGCTCTGTCCAAACTTCCTGCTTCCTCCAACCCATCAATCCAATATGCCATTCAGATTTCAATTAATCATTTATCAAACCCTATAATATGACAGGTGTGCCATCTTACCTCTTCTCACAACATACATAAAACCAGCAAAATAATGCTACAGATGTTAGCCTACACAATTGGATTGCCTGAACTGTGTCCTGTCATTATCACACAAATCCTTATTTGTGGGGTAAACACATGATCTCATATCCCTGGAGACTAAAAAGAATAACTGACAACATGATCTTAGTCTTACGTTGATGTATGTATACGTTAAAGCAAACAAGCTGCTTCCTTTAGTCTGAGTTATCTAAGTATTTAGACCAAATTTTTGTCATATTTTGAGGATACAACTAGCACTGGCTGAAATCCTCTCATTAGACAGTAGATTCCTTCAGGGTTCTAGCACATCCACTTCCTGATAGTCCAGTTAAGACATAACAAAGTGGAGGCTTAAGGGTTTGAAAAGTGTGCAAAAAGTTACACACACAGTACATGGCAGATCCCAAATTTTTGAGAATTCCAACATTAATTCAAACATAGAGATTGTTGTACTAATTTTAAGACTCTTAATGCTCAGCAGCAAAATATTTATTCATATCATCCATATTATGAAAGATATATGGGTGAGAAGCTAGACTTGCTACTCACTCACTCATTTGCTCCTACCTGAAAGTAATCGGATTCATTAAGAGCCCAAAAGTCAGTTATCATAGTGGCTTATAGAATCATCTAAAAATTATTAAATGATAAACACTCAAAAACATGTCACCCATCTTCCCTCAGCATTAACTACCTGTGGTTTCCTTTTACCTAATTCGGGATATGGAGAGGTTGTACAACTGGATGTGTTGAATGATCTCATCCAACAATCGATCTGTCATAGTATCAAAATCTGCAAATGTGTCCATCTGGAAAAAAAGAAAGGGGAAAGGTATTGGGAGAAGTTATGGCCTCTTTACTAGAAATCCTCTTTCCTTAAACAGCATGACATGAAAGGGGTATAAGCATCTTGTCAGGGTTCTAGTTTGAGATGCAACTTCAAGACAAAGATCCACTGGGGCTCTAATGAAGAAACTGTGCATCTGCTAAAGGATCTTCAGTTAGGGGAATAAGGTGGAAGATCTGAGTATATATATATGTTCTTGGAATGTGGTACCTGCTGTCTCAACATGAACTCACTGTGTCTGCTGGCATGACTTCACAGTGCAAGAAGCAGGCCCTGTGAGAGGAGACCACTTGCTCACTTTGTGTGAGCCAGATTCACACCAAGACATGCTTGACTCTTACATTGGTTGGTTTTTGTCATCTTGACACAAGATAGAGAGATCTGAGAGGAGTGAATCTCATTGAGAAAAATGCTTCAGCAGACTGACCTGTTGGCAAGCCTATAGTGCATTTTCTTAACTGACAATTGATGTGGGAGGGCCCAGCTAACTGTGGGCTGTGCTATCCATGAGTATATATAGTTCTCCCCTCAATGATGGACTGTGATGGGGAATTGCAAGTGAAATAAACCCTTTCCTCCTCAGATTACACTTGGTCATGGTGCTTATCACAGCAATAGAAAGAAAATCAGGCAAACTCTAAAGTCATTGCTTTTCACCCAGCATCGCCTTCAGGTTAGGCCATAAGTTCATGCACAGACATCAGCTTTGAAAGATTTGAAAACCATTCATGTCTTATGAAGGATGACCAAATGATAAAGGAGCACAAAAAGAATAAGGGGAAATCCCATGCATGTCTAAGGGCCTGAAGACATAATAGATTGATTTATATAACGAAATTTTAGGAATATGATTGGGAGCAACACAGACGTGTATTTAGAGTTAATATCTACAAGCAAAAACATCCTTCATAAACAGTGCTGGAGCAACAGCATCTTGGGATGCCTGAGCTTCCAGCCAAAAACTCTCACAAATATTCATTTCAGTGGTGAAGAAGCAAGTACACCTGAGAAAGGAGAAGCAAAGAGGTGAGTGACCTAAAGTCCATGGTCACCCATCTCTCCATGAAGCCTGCAGCATGAAAGAGACAAAGCACCGTGTTTTTTTGCTAGGCTTCATGAAATACAATCTTATCTGTAACTCTGCTTCCCCTGAGGCTATGTCTGGGTTCTGTAGCTTCTGCAGCCTGAATCTGCATCTCCTTGGCCTTTAAAAGTGGAGAATGCAATGTGTTTCTTCTCATATCTTAAAGACTCTCTAAAATATTGTTAACACACCTAAGCGTGGTGTGACTATTATTATGACCTTCTAGTCTCCAAGAGCCTCTTTGCTCCTTCTGACATTACTGATTTGTATATTTGTTATTTTATAATTATTGTGATAATGAAGACTTCACTCGCTATGATGAAAAATGCTCTCAAAACCACAATAAGGTACAAAAATAATACTGGGAACTCCACAGTCAGAGTACTTTGAAACAACTGCTGCATTCTGAACTGTTTACAAGACTTACAATAGTTAGGCAGTGAAATAACACAGTAGAACTTAATCAGTATTGAGACAGATCCCTCCAGTTTAGTGACTAGCACAGAGATCTGGCTCAAACAAGCTTGTGGAATCCATGTGGAACCCAGATGTCCTAGAACATATCCCAGAATACATGGAGGGACACACAATGAAGGCTGGATTCCTGGCTCAGCCTCTGCTATTAACCACATCCATTGTCCCTGAAGAGAAACCTTCACTAGGGAAAGCCAACACAAGGTCAAGGAACATCGATCAGTCATGATTCTACAGCCTTCTCTGAATGCCCTGGGACCATCTCCCTCAGGACATGGCCACATATGAAACACATCCCTCAGGACATAAAAGATCGGGAATTTTGTGTGGTAGTTCTCCGGGTCAGAGGAAGGATTCTCTGCAGAAGCCCTAGGCTGTATGCTCTGTGCTGTAAATAATCAGTGCTATTGGTAAGTAATAGAGCTGCTTGGAAGGTGTAATAGGAAACTGGGATAGGTACCATGAAAATAGTGGGCCCTAACTCTTCCTCCCTCACATAGTACCTTTTACTGCCTGTTATGTGCCCTGGAACATAGTGTCTAAAACAGGCAAAGAAATTAAGCACTAACACTTGAGGTATAAGTAGGATCTTTTCAGCTTTCGATCATTTATTAATTTATGTGTATGTGGAGGTCAAGGGACAACTTGGGAGAGTTGGTTCTTACTTTCTAGTATGTCAGCCTCAGGGATTAAACTCAGGCTATTTAGGCTTGGCAGTGAACATCTTTACTCCGACTCCTCTCACTAGCCTGACTTCTCAGCTCTGATGTCAGATGGTTCTCTGTATAACTACCACTTTCACTAATCATGAGACCTCTTGCTTATTAACAACTCTATTCCTCCAAAGGATGAGTATGAGTCATTTACCTCACTCTCTGATCATCCCTATCTCTTGCTCCTAGATTAACAGTCACAGCCTCAGTTTGCCATGTCTGATTGCAAAACAAAAGTGAGCTGACTTTATGGGTTGCACAGCTGTAGGTGACAATGTTCTGTCCCTAGTGTGACTACATGGATGCCCACATAGTTGGTAACCTAAGCCATCATGCTCCCAATGCCCAATTAAGCCAAAAGGCTCCAGTTACCTGATACATGCTAATTCCTATCATCATTTCACATTTTTTCCCTTAGACTCCCAAAGCGATGCAGTAAGTTTCTTTTTCTCTCCAAACTACCCAAACACTTGGATATTCTCCTCGAAGATGCCCCCTTCACTTCATGTGTATACATATCATCTTGGTGTCTTTAGGAGACTCTTTCAAATCCAATGTTCTCTCAACCCAGCATCTCTGACAGCATACCTGATTCTTTTCAGACATTAGGAAGTCCAGTTTCCCCCCGGGGAGCCCCAGTTCTATGAAAGTCTTCACCAGCCGTAGGTCTGCACTGTTCCCTGAAAATGACAGGTAACCCCAAGCCTATAATTAATCATAATAAGTCACATGGGATTTCTTTCTCACCATTTCACACATTACAATTGGATTTTCTCTTTATTTTAAAGCAGGTAACAGAAATAACTGAAGTAACTCCCCATCTTCCTCTTTTGCTACCCGAGCCCATGCATACACACAGAGAAGGGGCTCTTTTAAATGGCCATTCTTTAATGGAATTATTCCTTGACCCATCACACTAGTTCTCTTTCTTTCCCAGAACACCATTCTCTCAATAGCTTTTTGGAAGGGCTCCCTAGTGGCTGAGATGGCACAGTGGGCAGTCACCTCTTAAATCACTTGCCTATCAATTATAGATAACTAGGAAGAGATTAAATTATCAACTACAGTTCAGTTGTATAAATAGAAGAATTATCCCCAAGCCAATGGATAATGGATTAATAAGCTTGCAAATGTCCAAGAGTACCTGATAGGGTACTTGATAGGGCCAAGGAATGAAAGGTTTATAATTCCAGGAAGTCACTAGCATGAGAAACACAAACAGCACATGGAATATGTTGTTGGCATAAAAAGTCACACGGAAAGTGGATTTGTTATAACAGAATAAATTAGGCATATATTTTATTCTGATCATGGGCATTCTACTATATCTACATTAATATATGGTTTGTTCCTCTTCTTGGTCCCTGTAGAGTTGAAAAAGACATGCAACCTGTTTAGATATTTTGGTAGTATATTTTTCCATGTAAATAAACCCCACAGGTTATGGTTTTGGAGAACTTCTATATTGTAAGTGAAATTACAACTGATTTTATATCATTCTTTATAAATTTCCTCAATGATTTAAAGGTGTATTAAAAAACACACATTATATTTGGAAGAATTCAAGATTTGAGACAAACCTGATGTGGATATTCCCAGATGATTACCATCCTGTAGGCTATTATAGCATATGATCAAACCTGCAAGCTCAAGGTCATTGGAAGGTCATGTTTTATTAGTAGAGACACATATTTCCTCTTGGGAAGTTAAATTTCATCACTCTGTTTATGTAAATAAATAAATTGGATTCACTCATGTTATAGCCTAAATTTCCCTAATGATATTTTAGGAGTGGTCTTTTAAAAAGTTGATACTATTTATATTTAACACAAAGAGTTTGGGAATAATATATCCTTCTCTCCTCAAGACACTAGGAGTAAAAAGTTTCTGGAACCTAAAGTTTTCTAAAACAGTTTTAGTTAATAATGTGCTAGACTGAGAATATTTACAACAAAATATGCTTTGGGCTTTTAGGCACAATAGAGAGCCTGTGTAAATATTCATAACTTGTCCTAATGTACTCGTTCTTAATATAAATATGCTAGTTGGCAGATTTGAATAAACAGATTCTATAACACTCTGAAGAGGTTATACACATGCACCTTGAACTACAGAATTAATATTATGAAAGCTGTCTTTGTGATCACTTGTTTTTCTTTTGACCTGTGGCCCCGGGGATGCTGTCATGGGCAGCTCAGCTCTCCGAATCAGTACAATACTAGCAAATCATCTCTACCTCTGTTACACAATTCTATTTCAATATGCACAAGGTAACAGATGTAAACCCTATTGCATAACTGGAGCTCTTACTTGAAAGATTTATTTTTATTATTTTTATTTATGTGTCTAGTTAGGTGAGTGATTGACACAGGTATCCAGGTAGTCTCAGAGACTGGAAAAAGGCATTTGATACCTTGGTGCTAGAGTTACAGGCTGTTGTGATCCATTCATCATAGGTGCTGACAACCAAGCCCAGGTCCTCCGGAAGAGCAGCAAGTGCTCTTAACCACTGAGCCATGTCTTTGGGCACCCAGATTTCTCATTTTGCAAAGAATTTTAGAATTTTAAAAATGAGAGGTAGGAATTACCCTTTAATGACAATGAGCTGATGAATGTCAAAGTCATTCTTATCTTTATAAATCCTAGAACACGGTGGTGTCTAGTATACAAAAGGTTCTGGTAAGTGAGAGATGAGCAAAATAGACAACAAAATAGTTGCGATCACTAACCCAGGCTCATTAAAATGCATCCTTTATTCCTTTTCCTCCATCTCTTCTTCTAGAACCATCCTATTGATTCATAAATTCCATCGATTCTGGCATTTCATTGAGGTATTCATTCTAACAGTACATTCACTTCTTCATTCATTTACTCCAGTCTCTCTTTTATTCAGAACACTCATTCCATTGATTATACACTTCCTTCCTTCCTTCCTTCCTCCCTTCCTTCCTTCCTTCCTTCCTTCCTTCCTTCCTTCCTTCCTTCCTTCCTTCCTTCCATTGATTGGTAAAATTCATGTCACTGAATTAACTAATTAATTATATATGTGTGTGTGTGTGTGTGTGTGTGTGTGTGTGTGTGTGTGTGTGTGTGTGTGCGTATCCATGTGTGTATATGTATGATGTATGTAAATATCCTGGGCCACTCCATTTCCTTTGAAAGCAATGTTTTCCTGGTTGCTGTTTGGTTGATTTTTAGAGTGAATACCTGATCTAAATTAAGTTACTTCATAGACATAAAGTGAATGTAGGATAGTAATCTGAGAAGGAAACTTCCTTAGAACTTACCATCCAGGCCATGGACACAGACCACCAGGTGAATCCCATCTTCCAAGTTTTCCTCCTCTTCCTCTGGTGGGAAATATGGTATATCAGAAGCTAGTACGGATAAGTCACTGTACAGAAATCCTTCAATCTTCAGTTCTTTTTTAAACTTTTCTTTGGCCTGATAAAAACTGGAGAATATACCAATTAATCACAAGCCATGCTGTGTATTCCATGTTGAGCAGGGAATGAGTTGGGCTGATAGGTAGGAGTGCTGTGTATTCACAAACAAATTGTCTTCCGAACATCAAATGCTGAATGAAACCTTAGGGGAAACGCCAGCAAGCAAAGCTTTGTTCTTAATAAGAGAGAAGGAAAACATCCTCAAATAAACTGAAGAAAGAGTTTTTATTTTAAAAATTTCTATTTTAGACTTGTATTGAACAGGAGGCTAGGTAATGAGACTTATAAGACTCTGCAGTTACAGGACATGGACATTTTTAAAATTATCTCCCGAGAGGGTAAGTTCCTTTCCTCTCATACAAGCCCAGCATGGTTTAGCCTCCATCTGCTTTTTAAGAACTATTTTCCACCATTACCAACAGCAATGAAGGTTTTGGGTTTTATTTTTTTCTCTGTTTTATCTTGGTTTTATTTTCTAGTTAGTATCATAAACTACTTGGCTTGGCTTGGCTTGGGTCTGTTTCTTTGGGCCTTGGTATACTCAGGATGTCAGAAATGACTTTTAAACCCAGCTAAGATGTTGTTTGTGTGGTTACTTGACAAGATGGTGGTTAACAACATTGATTCACAAATGAGATTATGATGGTTACAGTCTTGGTTTTAACACTTCTGATAATAGCCAGTTATCTGAAATGCTTGGGAATAGAAGATTTTTAGGTTTCAGTTGGGGTTGTTGTTGCTGTTTTTAAGATTTACACACACACACACACACACACACACACACACACACACACACACACACATATATATATATATATATACTGCGATAACCTGAGGATTGGACCATGTCTATACACAGAATTAAGTTTTGTTTTCTGTATGGCCTAAGCACATTACCTGAAAGTAAGGTATTTTCATGTAATAGTTTTACTAAAGTTGAACAGAAAAGTTTCATGGCGCAAAATTCTCCACACGTGTTGTCACACCAGCCTTATCTAAAAATATTTTAGATTTCAATAGCATGAAAATACAATTTAAATTTAGATTTCTTGCCCAATAAGGGCAAGGCCCTAGTTTTGATCTAGAGCAGTACAAAACAGGTAAACTTTTGGATCTTAGCTAATGTACAATTGTGGATTTTCAAACTAGTGATGTTCTGGTATTAGCATCAGCATCCTCATCTACCTCCCCTCAGTGAAGACATTCTCTCCTCTAAAGTGTTTCTTCTGCCCCTTTTCACTCTCCATACAATCATCGCTTCCAGATAAAACCTTTGGCTCCACTGAGCACGCAGGAAGCATCTCACTTGCCCAACACTGGCCTTACTTTTGATTCCTGCAGTTAGAGCAGAGACGACTCTGACCTAGCTTTGGACAGTGTCTGGCTGGACTTCTTGATTTGGTGACCAGTGTCATAGGACAGGCATTTAATACTATTTATTACACAGAATGTTCAATGTTTATCTGCCTGGACTTTTTCTTTATGTGAAAATCAATAACTATTAGCAATTGGCAAGAGAAGAATGAGCATAAGGCACTCTGACAAAATACTTCTATTATGTGCCCAATAAAATATATAGCTGATAATTGAGGGTACAAAATGAATTTGGCACAAGCCAATGATCAAGCTATATATTCTAGGACTGAAAAAAAAATAGAGTAGTGACTTTGAGACGCCCACAATCTTAAAGGGAACTTAGAAGGCAAATATGGTGGAGTCCTGTTCCCTCAAAGGTCCTAAAATCTCCTTTTTCAAAATATGAAAAGGTGAAGTTACACTAGTGTCATAAGAGAGTGGTATATCACAATAAAAATGGAACAAAATTTCCATATCTATCCATTAAGAATTTGGTTAATAAGTCATGGTACATCCATACAATAGACTACTATGTAAACATTAAAATACTGAATGAAAATGAACTTATATAGAAAGATATTTCTCATATTTTAAATGGAAAAAATAAGAAGCATCACAATGATCCTATTTTATTAAAAATGAATATATTTAGGGGACAAATATCTATATAGAAGATTTCTATATAAAAATTATGTCATGTTGTTATGTTGGGTGATGGGCTTATTTGTAATTCTTCTTTATATTGCTTAGACATTCTGAGTTGCATGATGTGTACATTATTGCTTTATTTAAATTAACAAAAATAATAAATACCTCCATGTTTAAATAGTATGTATGAAACTGAGAAAGAAAACTTTGGGAAAACATAAGTGACTATGGACCCATGAGCTGTGAGCTATCCCACAAACTTACCTGAACATTCTTTCACTGACTTCTTCTTCCAACTTGCTGGAATAGGTAGAAACAACTCCAAAGGAGCCCAAAGGTTGATGAGTAATGGGGGCTAGGCTTTGTTTAGAAGAGTGTCCAGCCCTAGCAGGGGTCTCCTTGGGTACAGATGAGAAAGGGAGACATGTGGCAGTGCAAGACACAGACAAGTTAACGACCTCCACTGCCTTTAAGCTGTCCAGAGTAAAGGCCTCGGCGGAGTTCAAGTGGGACCCAGAGATGGAAGTTCCTGTCTTCAGCTCATGGTTTCGTGACACTTGGGAGGCAATCGTGTGAGTCACAGTGGGGCACACAGTGCCTGCTTCATGTTTGACCTCCAGAGAGGCAGTATGTCTTCTATTCAATGTCATGGTGTCATTGACACTTGATGAACCATTTTGTACACCTGTAGAATTCAAGTTGACAGCTTCAACAGCTGGTGCACTACTGATTTCAGGCACCCTGTGGTGAGACCCAGCCCTGATGTCTAAGATGCTGTTGTTGGGGACTATGTGTTTACCCCCACTCCATCCTTTATGTTTGCCTTTTGTGGTTTCGTCTGCTGCTCTATGAAAAGAACTGGTCCTAGAGTTTTCAAGCACTATAGTACATGGTACTTTTAAGTTAAGACCTTTGGTTTCAACACTTGGTATGTTCTCAGCCATGTCATCCATATAGCAGGGTCCTTGAGGACAGGACTGGTTCTCTTTACCTTTGGGGATGTCTATGTACCCAGGTCCGTGGGCTCTCTCAGAATCTAAAGCTATGTCTGCAAGGGAGTGTCCTGCCCTGACATCCTGGGCCCTGGAGCCACCATAAGAATGAGAACTGTGTCCAGGTGAACTGGTGTCCTTGCTAGAACTGTCCAGGTCTTCAGCAAATCCTCCTGTGCTCTTCATGGTGTCTGCACCTTCAGTGGTATCCTCAGGGCTGCTGATCTGGGGTGCAGAGACAGACTTGGTTAGCATAGTAAGTGCCAACTCCCGTTCCTCATCTTCAAAAGGCAAAGAGCTGATAGAGGTAAGAGAAGCCTGGATGCCACTGGGCAGACTAGTGTTGCTTTCTGTATGACCACCCTCTAAAGAGTTCCTGTGGTGGGCATGCCTTCGAATCACTTGATGTAAAACTTCACGATCACTAGGTAGCTCCAGGGCCCTGCTACGGGCCTCAGACCAGGCAACAGAACTTGGTTCACTTTCAATGCCTGAGTCAGATATGATGGAGGCTGACCTCTTGATGATGCCAGAGAGCACTGACAGATCTTCCTGCTCTTCTGAATGGTCCTGCAGGGAAGATGTGGTGTCCCAAGGTTCCATTGGAGCAGTATTCAATGGGTCACAAGGTTCAGCAGGGGTGAGCTTCAGGCTCAGCAGCATGGGCTTTCCCTCCTGGTCTGCTCCCCTTCCTAGAGTCTTGAATTCAATGGCAGCTTTTTGGTTTAAAGAAGTGGCATTATTCTGACTTATTCCTGCTACAGCTTTGCTTGGCAGAGTCTTAACAGGATCATAGCTGTCCTGAGAGCTCCCTTGCTCATGCTGTACATTAAAGCCCTGCATGGGCTCAGCTCTAGGGTGGTTCTTATTGCTAGATTTCACATCAATGTAGGTCAATGCTGGGGCCTTCCCATCATCAGGGCCTGGACTCCTCCTACGTATGTCCATATCTGAATCTCTCACAGCATCAGCCCTTGGACCAGTCCAGCATGCATCTTCAGGCTTGAGTGTTTTGCTTTGGAATTCACCAATGGTCAAATACACCTGAGATTCTGAGCACACATCCACAGGATTCTGTGTGGAGACATTCTCTTCCATCTCTGGACACCTAATAACATCCTCATCAGAGCCCAATTGGGGTGCTTTTGTAGTAGATAATGGAAGGTTCTTCCTCAATGGTGATTTTTGATTTATAATATTCTTTTCTTTCCCTTTTAGATCCATTATTGCAGGACTTGCCAGTGGGACATCAAAATTAGGATAAACACTCAAATTATGCTCTATAACAAAAGAATAAAATTGTATTGTAGTTTACAAATCAATATTATAAATTATTTAAATGCCTAATTGTATGAAAACAATTCAGCAGTCCTGTATCACTACTTTTTGAAGGGGATGACCTTCAGATTTTTTAAAGTTCTTAAGTTACAGAAAAAGTTTCTTATTCAGGGGTATACAGATAGTTTATGATAACCAGGTGACTCACGTTAAACTTCCAAATAGTTTATGTTGATGAGATAAATGAAGATATGAATGTGACAAAACATGTGATTAGTGGGTTGGGACAAGGGAAAAGAAATACCCATCAGACCTATGTGAAAAGATTACATCTATGTGAGGCCAGTGGCTCACATACTTTTATCCACATAAGAAAACATCAATCCTGTGGCTTAGATGAGCTCTTCAAATTTATAGATTGACAAGGATGGATGCCCCAGGAGAAGAAAAAGTCTTGAGAATACCAAAACATCTGACTAAGATTCAACCTATAGATCCTCTCTCTCTCCTCTCCCCTGTCTCTCTCTGTTTCTCTCCCTCCCTCCCTCTCTCTCTCCCTCTATCTCTCTCTCTTCCTCTCTTTCTATTTCTCTCCCTCCTTTTCTCTCTCCCCTCCTGTTTTCATTTTGGGGGATATGGTTGTCCTTTCTTTGCAACAATAAAACTTTAATCATGAAGACAGCTCCTTCCGGAGTTCTGTGAGTCATCCCAGAACATCATGAAATATGGGTGAATTACAGGAACCAAGAATTTGTAGCCAGTGGCCAGAATTTGCAGAATTGCAGATTGCCAGTTTGCCTGCAGAAGTGAAGTTTTGCTTGAGAGATGTTTGTGCCTGCCGTATTATGCAAACTAATAAAAGAGAAAAGGGGCTAGAAAAAAAAGGCATTTATTTTCTCTCATCATACCACTTACCTTTCATTTATTTGAGTACACTTAGCATTTTCTTCCTTCAGATGTGATGAGGTCAATCATAAGTATAGTGTTTATAGAGTAAAGATAACTTGGGAGCCTGGAAGATCTGAGCATCAACTCCAGCATTGCTATTTGTGAGCACCCTAGGCAACCACAGTCTTCAGGAAGCTTTTTGACCTTCCTCAGCTGTAGGGTAGGCAGATCCATAGGAACCCACAAGCCCTTCACTCACTCATAAATCATTGTATGAAATGATGTTATGCATGGGGTGAAGAGTTCTGCTTTCTGCAGAACAAACCCTGCAATCAGGTTATCTGTCCTATGTGTTAGATAGTAACACCACAGTGAAGCTTTGGAAAGCTTCCATAATCACACCCATCTTCAGAGGCTGATGCAGAGAACCAAAGTATGACATCTTATCTTATTTTTTTAACTATTTTCTCTCTCTTAAAACTTTGAATCCTCTTTTTCTTCTTCTCCTGTTTCCCACAACTGACCAGTAACAAACATTCTCCATGTGCACCTATCATAACCAAAGATCTGAGATGTGACTCCTGACATCTCCCACATATGCCATATAAACAGGAGGATGTGTGTCTGTGTTTTCTTTAAATTATATAAATCTCTGCTGATAGACATCAAGACTGGTTCCATTCCATGGCTATTGTAAATAGTGCAGCAATGAACATATATCTCTGTGGTAGGATTTAGAGTTTATTGGGTGCATATCCAAGAGTATGCACATGTAGGTCATACAGTGACCTATGATCATCCAATAACTTTCAGTGCAATTTGTAATTAGACTGAGGAAGAAATGAATTCTCCCTTTACCTTGGTACATCAAATGAACCTGGGGATACTTAGGAAGCATTTACTTTCCTCTGCCTGCAGCAAGACCAGTACATACCACTATACTCTTTTGAAAATCCCCCAGCATCCCTCCCACATACATGTAGTATTGTATGTCCTATGACCATGTGATGATCCACTTCCAAACTTTTGTCGCCCTAAAGGCAACAGCTTGTGTTTTATCCCTGTAGCCCGCAGGCTGACCTCCTATCTAGTACATATTTGATGAACTGTGTTCCTGAAAGTATCTAAGGCAAGAACAGGAATCTAGCAAAACAAAGAATATTGTGTTCACTGATTGCTTATATTGGCTTGAATATAATTACCACAATGATGTTTAGTTCCACCCAAGACTATACTAGCATGACTAGGCACTGGGTTGGCAAGAAAGAAAGTGGACATTTGTTATAAGAGTAAATGATCTTTTGCCTTGATGGGATTTTCCAAATATTTGGAAGCACTCAACGCTACAACAAGTTGTCTTGTTGAAAATTATGTGTGTGTGACAGAATCACATGCACGAAGAATAGAAATTTATGCTCACTGAAATATTTATCAATATCTGCAATTAAAAATACTGAGAAACAATCTACACCTAATTCTGATGTGTAAATATCAGAGGTTATTATAAGCAGTGCTTAATTTCTTCAACTGTTCACTTTTGCTGGAAATTATATAAGAGGTATGCATTAATGAAAACACAAGCATATAAACACACACACACACACACACACACACACACACACACACACACAAACTTTAAAACTTACCAGTTGGGGTGGAGGTTTAGTATAATTCAGTACATATTTGACTTGTCATACACTTACTTGACACTAGATGTCAGAGTACAACTGGAAACCAAATGCATTTTTGCAAACTTGCTATCCCTACAAGTCACCTAGCTTCCAGGCTGTAAACCTGCAGATGCAGAATTTCTGAAATGTAGCCATTTTGGTCCACTGTATAAAATGACAAGCAAAGTAGCCTGGCTTAAAACACCTGAGGAAGATACCAGAGCAGAGCCTGGACTCTGGAGTTAAGGAGTTGACTTTGGTTGCTTATTGATACATGGTCTATCTATACCTCAGTTTCCCTCTCTGAAGCTGTATAAATTACTTAAAGAATTAAATAAATAATTTGGTTAAACCACCAACATAGGGCTTGACATTTTCTGGTCATGATTATTGGGTTTCTATGGTCAAGTTACCGGGGAGAACAGAAAGGTGACATTCATTTCTTCATGTCTGGTCCTTTTGCAGTTGATCTCTGGGTTCACTGACAAACAGAAGAACCATGCTGAACACTGTTATACAAATAATAGACATAGCCTTGTTCTTTCTCTCCCTGAGGTTTTCGTTCATAAGTTCTCCTAGTTACACAGCCCACTTTCTCAAGTCCTTGACCTGCCTTCTGGCATTAAACAGGTCATTGAATTAGTGAGGAGCCACCTAGAATGACATAGTAACCATCAACCAACCAACAAAACAACTTCAATCACCACCGCCACAAAATAGGCACTAACACAGTGTCATTAAAGTTAATAAGAAATGACTATAGTTAAAACTGCACACTTGAGAGAACGAAAGATCTTCATAAGTCTTTGATCACTCTAGGGTGTGTGTGGGTGTGTGTGTGTGTGTGTGTGTGTGTGTGTGTGTGTCTGTGTCTGTGTAGGTGTCTGTGTGTGGGAAAGAGAGTATGTATGTCTGAGTCTATGCATGTCTCATTCTATAGGTAATTCCATAGGTGAAAACACAGGTACCGGGGACATTTTGATCCAGAAGGGGCCAGGTAGGCATTAACACTAACTCTTCCTTCCCCTTTAAAGAGAAAATACTACCACAATTTGCTGATACTCTTGTGAACAGTGACCACCAGGGCTTCAGGGGCACAATCTGTTAGTGTACCAGTACTTCCAATGAAAGTCCAATTCTCAAGTCTTTTCAAAACAACAGAGAAAGACAAACCTGAGACAGGGCAGTCCACATATCTGTCCTCAAAGATAACAGGAAGGGTGTTCCAGTCACCATCAATATCCAGGCACTCTGCGGGCAATGGGGGCATGCTGGTGAGGTACTCCGAGTTCCGGATGTCCAAAGATAGCTGGCTGTGGGTCTGTATCCTGTGGAGCACACAGAAAGGTAATCGACCAAACAGGATTGGAAGTTTTCAATAGTCTTACCATTCTAACCCCAAGAAAGCTTTAACAACAGTGCTTTTAGCAGATGCTGGTAATGACCATCTGCCTGTCCTCCTATCCATCTAAGATAGCCCTCAAAATGGTAATCTGCTTTGCTGAGGAACTGCTCCAAGAGCTAGTGTTGGTGCAAAGGATTGTGGTACTGGATTATACCTGACAGTGGAAGGTAATTAGCATCATGCTATTGAAAGGCTAGCTAAGAAATGGCTGCTGATCTAAAATGTGTGCTTTGGAAGAGAAAGTTAAATTTACTCATCTATTACTCCAGCATCTTTAACTTTTTAGAGTACTTAGTCTGAGTTATATTTCGGTACAGCTGAGCCACCTTAAGTGCTTTTTGTTATTATGTTGATACTGACAGCTTTTATTAGTGTGAAAGCTACTATAATTCAGGCCGTATACTTTTTGTTTCTGTTTCAAAGCTTATATTTATTCTTCCAATACTAAACATCCTTCTACCATTAAGAACCTGATTCCAGAATCTGAAGTAATTACTACTTTACCATTTAAAAGTTTGGAGGTGCATGTGACTTTAATTCCTCTGCAGAAGAGAGTAAATTCATGTTATCTCATGAAAGAAAAGCTAAGTAATGTTTTATAGTTTTTGTATATAAAAACTCAATCACTTTCCATTAAGGGAAGAGGAGAGCTTCCCTTAAGGGACTGGAGATTTGGGAGAAGCCTGAGCATATGTCTCTCTGCCTGTCTGAGGCTCTTCATGTAGCAGGCAGAACTCTGGACACTCATCCCACTTCCCGGTCATGTGGACTATCTACCACTATAAAATACTAACTGTATAACCCTATACAGGTCCAGAACAAGCTATGTAAGCATCACATCATCACCATCAACAGAAGTCCCAAGAGTTCAACACATACACATGTATGACTTATGGCATATACAGATTTCATATAATATGCATAGAGATATTAATTATGGCAATACATATTGACTTTACAGATTAAATATGTTTATCTTATATTTTCTATTTTTAAGTTTCCCTCATATACATGGGAGATTTTTTTCCTCTTATTCAAAGCTCTGGAAGTTGTTACAACTTTATACCTCTTTGAATATCTAATCATTTGGATATTATATCTGGATGGATATTAAATATGATTTTGTCTCAGTCAGTTCCACATTCTACCCCTCCTTGGGTCCCCTGAGTATGTAAAGGTGTAGCCAGAAGACATTGGCTTGTGAGCTGGTGACAGATCTGCCAGATCCACCTTCAATGAGGACAGGCACTATCTGACAGGGTGAGCCGCTAGATGGAATGTGGATGGGCAGGATGAACATTTGTTTTTCCGGAACCAGGATACCTTTGTTTTCTCTTCTCATTTGACATCATAATTCCAGGTTCTCCAACTTTTGGAACATGGGGCTCATAGCAGCACCCCAACATTCAGGTTTTCAGACTGTCAGTCATAAAACTGCTCCCACCTGGTCCCTTGGTCCCCTGGTACCAAGATTTTGAGACGTGACTGAGCCACATCCCTAGCCTCTCTGGTTCTCTGGCTTCCATATAGATTATAGCGGAGCTTGCCAGCCTGAACCTGAAGCTCACTGATTCACCTGAACTGGCTGGTCAACAAACCCCAAGGATCTCCTACTGTCTCTTCTTCTACAATGCTGGTATTGCAAGTGCTTGCCATGACACCTTGCTTCTTACATGGGGGCTGGGGATTTGAACTCAGGTCTTCAGGTTTGCATGGAAACAATGTTCCTAACTGAGACATCTCTACAGGCACAGAGGAATGACCTATTAAATGTTACACAGTGTCGTAGATGCTACATGTAACTAATGATTGCAAAGAGAGGGGAGAGTTAGTATCCCCCAGAAATGAGCTTTTTAATTGGTTAGCCCATTTGAGGTGATCAGCCCTACTGATATATTTATATGTGTGTGTGTGTGTGTGTGTGTGTGTGTGTGTGTGTGTGTGTGTACTTACACGTATATGTATATATTGAATACATACATATATATGTATAAGGAAAAGGAGACTACCAATTTGAGAGGGAATAAGGGGAAAAATAGGAGTAGTTGGAGGGAGGAAATAAGAAGACAGAAAGTGATAAAATAATATTTTGATTAAAATTAAATTTTCTCTAAGTTAAACTGTTATAAATGTCAGTACAGGAACAGTGAAAATTGAAGTATTATCTCAACTTCCCGATTATAGAATCTCTACATCATTTTTTTTTCCACAGCCATGTATTCCTCCTTATTGTGTGAAGGGCATCACAGAGACATGGAACAAACAGAAGAGGGCCAGCCACAACCAGCCTTGCCCTAAGCCCAGGCTAAATCTCATGTTAACATGTTTCATAAGTTACTCCTGATGGCTGGCCAGTTATTTTCATGATAAACACACATCCTCAGACCCATGTACACTGGCAAACATGAGCAAACACACCTCCCTCAAATCATACATTATATCTTGTCCTGTGCCATCCCAGACCATGTCACAGATAAAGATCTGTCCCAAATCCATCCATTCATTTCGCAGCCTACTGAAAGGTGGTGAAAATTCATCTATGACATAAAATCTCTTCCAGGTCAAACTATGATGGATCTTGACAAATAAGCTCACCTATGCCTCTGTATGCTGACATTCCATCATCAATCCTGATGCTAGAATGTAGTTCTGCCTCCCATGTAAGTAGGTAATTAATCCTGAATCACAACTTGTCTGTCTAGCTATAATGAACATGCATGTGTCTGGGCATACCTGCTTAGCCTCACACAGTCCCTGTTCAATATCTTATCCCAAGACTCATTCTATTGACAGCATGTATCCACCTTTCCCATGATTTTCTCATTCTGAAATGAAATCTCTTTCTGTGTTCTTGGTGACATGGTTCATTTTGACAAAAATGTATTTCCTATTGAGCAGAATCTCTCTGGTAACTTGTTGTCTACTTGATGCTTGTGTGGATATTGATGGTCAATTGAATACTTAAAATGTTGTCCAATCTATTTGCTGTATAAGACATAATCACCTTGAAAACTTCAACCTGACCTCCACTCCTATGTGAAATTGCAGGGAGACCAGGATAGACACATTCAGTATCTACTCCTCTTAAGTTAATAGACACTTCTCATCACCATTTGGTCAACATGTCTATTTATTTGTACAGAGAGATTTTGTCTGTTTGGTTCGACTCTAAATAGCCCACAACTGAAATAGTATCTGGAACACAGACAACAATATATACATACTTACTGAAAGAAGGAATCTCCTTTTATATCTAAGAAACTAGCTAAGAGAGGTTAAGGAATGCATGCCAGTTTTAGTAAAATCTATAAGTTAAAACATTTGAATGGAATTTGAAATGCTAAGGTCCAACTTCATTTTCAGGCTAATAATACATGAACTGAAATTATCATGAATCTGAGTTATTTTGTGGTGCACAAGATACCACATGATTTAGTCCTTCCTGCCCTTCCCTCTTACCTTCCTACTTCCCTCCATCCTGTTCTCCTCAAATTCAGAACATTATTGGAAGTGCTCCCTGTTGAATAAACACCTTTTATAGTCTGAGTCACAATAATCCCAAATTGAGGTCAATTGTCACTTCCGCAATTTATTTTTTGTCTCCCATTACTTTGTCAAAATCAGTCCTTGGACCACACACAATTTTCCATAAAGGACAGTTGAGGCTGGCTTACAGGAGCAAACTGCATATGTCTCTTTCTAGCTTCATACTTCCTAATAACTTATGAATGACTTGAAACACTACTGTGGGGAATTCACATGACAAAAATTAACAAATGCTATATAGAACATGACACGGTTTGGGGAGTCTAAGAATTAGTGGTTAACTATTTATGAGAATACCAACCACATCTCTTCTCTCTTCCTATGCCCTTATCTTCTTGCTTATTGTTTTTACATTGGTAACTACCTGAACGAGTTAATTTATTAACTGCCTATTTGTCAGATAGAATGAGAAACCTACAAGACAGCATTCTTTACCACATCTACTGTCCACTGGGACAATTAATGTTCACTCATTAATCACCATCTACATTAACATCACCATTTACAGAGGAGGATCTTCAGCTTGTGCTCTGTCTACCTCATGTGGATGTTCCCACTTTGTCTTTTCATCTTTTACTTTGGACCATTTTATGGGGAAGGAAACTAAGAGTGGTGCACAGGATTCCTTTCTTGCCACTTTGATAAAATACCCTACCAAAAGCTGCTTAAGGGAAAAAGAATCGATTTGGATCACATGTCTAGTTTCTAGTCCATCGTCTCAGGGAAGTCACAGCAGCAGATGAAAACAGCTGGTCAGTCAAAGTCACGATCAGGGAATGACAGATGCATGCTGCACTCAGCTTGCTTTCTCTACTCTTCTATAATCCAGAGATTTCCTGCTCAGGAAATGGTGTTACCTACAGTGGGCAGGTCATCCCACCTCCATCATTCTGATCAAGACAATCCCCATAGACATTCCCTCAGTCCAACCCAATCCAGACAATCTGTTATTAGTATTCTCTTCCCAGGTGATTCTAAATTTGATAAAATTGACAAAAACCAATCATCACAACTAGCTCCAGTTGAGAATACATTGACAACAGAAGAAAAGCAAACATTTCTCAAGGAATCACTCACTGCACATCACCAGATACCCTGTATTATGAGCATTTTGCATAGGCATCTAGAGGGCTGGCATTCCAACCAAACTGTGCCTGGAGAGTGTGATGCTTCGTTTTCATTGTCAACTTGATTGAGAATCACTTTGGAGACACACCTCTGGGCATGTCTGTGAGCACTTTTCCAAAGTGTAACTGAGGAGGAGAGATCCACTCTGAATGTGATACCATCAATAGGCTGAGGTCCCAGACTGAATACTATGGATCAAAAGAGGAAGTGAGTTGAGTACATTTCTTTCTCTGCTTGACTTAGATGTCATATGACCAGCCATGACTTCCTGCCAGGATGACCCTTCAAACTGTGGGGTGCCCTTCTTTAAGTAGATGTTCTTTGGTATTGTAATCCCAGTGATGAGACATATTAATATTAATATAGAGAGCAATGACCTTTGTGACTTTCACTTTCACATGTGTTCACACTCCCTGAGAATGAATGTACGCATTGCTGTACTTGTTGAAGACTCTAATGTTGTCCAAACAAGCTATTTTCATAAGCATATGCATTTTCCTTTCTATCCCACTATTTTGATAACCTAAAAGCAAACACTAAATGTCACCATAGTTTGCTTACAGAATAAAACCTGTGGAGGAAACAGGGTTATGTATACAAAGATGAAAGAATTCCAGGTCTGTCTTAGGCAACATGAAAATTCCACCAGTCTCTTTGATAGATGCACTGTGGCCTCTTAACTAGGCTTCCCCTTACCATTATGTTTTGAACAGATTATTCAAAATAAAATATTGGTGGCCAAAAGATTTTGATGAGGTCTCCACCCATCTTCCCTAGAGAATCTAAGAAACCTCATCTCTTATCACCACTCAAATTTCTTGATACTTTTCAATTCTTTTTGGAAGAAGGCAATCTTAAAAAGGCATCATTCCTCCTGATTAGAGATCTTGGGCTTAATTATTATGCTAAATAAATGTTTTAACTACTGCATCACTGAGCTTGTCTGACACAGCATGTGGCCACACCACCTGCTTCTATTCATTTTGCAGAGGACTCAGCACAGATGTCTGCAGAGACCTAGGAAGTCTTGATTTTTCTCTATAGAACCATAATGGCATGCAACAAAAGACACCTTTGGCTATCGACCTTCCCTGGCACCTGCAGCTCCCGCCTCCCCAGTGTGTACTTTCTTTGCTGGCACAGGACTGTAGACAGAGTGTGCAGAAGCAGCCAGCAGAGTGTCTGTTTCACAGCAGGAGATGAAAGGAAAGGGAAACGTGAACAAAGAAAGAGAGCTGAATGCCCTGGGTGGCCACTTTAACAGGGTGAAGTGGGTGTGCAATTTATTACTTACAGGTTTTCCTGAAAGGTCAAAACTGCAAGTTTTTGGTGCTCCATATAAAAGAAAGCTTCAGAAAACCTTCGGACCTGAGGGATGACAATATAAACAGCTTAATTCCTCAAGTGGATATGACCTCCATTTTCTCAACTTGAGAGTCTGGAGATTAAGTGTTGTGTTTTCGTGGAAAGAAGGCTGTGCCTGCATACAGAGGTCTGTCACAAGAGGTTTTCCACCCTCCAAAGCTTCCCACGTCTTTATAGCTCTTAGCCCAAGCAGTGTAGTATATGCTTATAAACTCACTCCTGTTCTGCTTTCATTTTTATCCTCAAGTTTTATTCTTTCTACAAGAATATGAGATTTTTCCAAACAGGTATTATAAATAAATGCACAACATGGAGAATTCCAAAAGCCAGGAGCATTTGCTATGTGCTTTGTGGACTCTGATCCTCAGACACTTATTTCTCTTGCCCAAGTGAGAAGATTCACATCACTCCATATATATTAATAACTATACATGTACAGCCAAGATGAGGGCAACACATTACTTTTGAAAGTACTTCTTCCTAAGTACATTGAGACACTTTTATTAGTTAATTTTATAAGCTCAGATATCTTCAGACATAGATAAGAAAGATGTTTTATGAATGACAGAATAGGGTGAAATAAGTAAGTGAATTTTTGATGTCACAATGATCATTCACAGTTGAGTGGGACCATTGTTGAAATCCATACATTGGCACAATGGCAAATCATGTTCCCCTCAACGAACCAAGTCTTGCAAAATTTCTCTTTAAGAATAAATGCACAGAGTCAGAGAGTTTATAGCATTTTATGATTTACCCTCAAAGCATGGTGTTCCTGGGTGAGATAAGTGGTCACTTCGGAGTGTAGAGTCACTGTCTCCAGGAATTGGGTCCACAGAGCCATCATATGGGAGGCCAGCCAGGCAAGATCCTTACTGATCTGTTCAGCTATCTTCTCCGGGTTGTTCAGCATCTGCATGGGTAAAAGAGTGTCATTCAAAGACGTAGCTCTATTGTGTTGCCTCAGCCTTCCTCTTGGGATCTTTACCAAATGCTCTGCTCTTCTATCCTTTCCCTCACATGCCATAAATAATGTGGTATTATAATACATGTCTTATGCTATATAATGTAGAATTGTGTTATCCTGTCCCTTTGAATATGGGAGCTAAGAGATACAGCAATGAGAGGAATAAACTATTTGGCAGTTCCTGTCTATAGTTTAATATTCAGGGCCCATGGTTTCATGTAAGGTTAACCCGTGTCTATCCCAAGTCGATGTCTTCCCTCTCCATGCATGCTTTAAGTGTGAGTTACTTCTAGATTTCCAGGAATATCTTGTCTAGTATGTCCTTTCTCCTTTTATAAATTGTTGCTACCCATTTTCAACTCTCTACCCTAAACTTCTAATCTCATCACCTCAGAACCCAGCTTTCCCAAATGTTAGCATCCTAGTCTAGGATTCCTTCAGCATGGCCTTTGCACTACTGCACCAAAGGGGGATCAGCCATAGCATCCTCCCTTGAACTCACACACCCAGAGAAGAGATTCTTGTACTAGAATCTACTCTGTATTTCATTAAACTCTGAACTCAGTGATTTATAATCACAATGGCTCCCACTTACTAAGACTGATCATTTTATACATGCTTCACATTCAATTCATGCAATCATCTTTTAGGTAGACTATTAGAACCATCCTTTCACAGGAAGGAAAATGGCAGTGACTTAATAGAACGTCCAATTTTCACCCAGCTAGGATTTAACTGAAGGACTCTCTAACCATGAAACCACATGCTCCACCTCAGCAGCTATTTAAAAATATCTTAGGAGAAAAGGTACTCCTTATAATCCCAGAGTGCTTAACTAGCCAGGTCACTAGGCAGCCTCTCTGTGGCTATAACCCATCATTACCTTCTTAACCATTGCTTAAACCAAGCCACTTCTTAAGGAGGATTCTAGCATGCCTTAATTACAATGTAAGTCAGTCAGACTACAGTGGGGCCTGAAACGTTTGGAGAAGACTCTTGATGAGAACATGTTGGACAGGTAACTGGTTTAGAATGGGGAGGACCATATTCTAAGGGAGAAAATTGCATTACGGGAAGGTGAAAAGATCAAATGCTCCTTGGAAGAGTGACAAGAAGCCTGCCCACTGAGCTCCAGGTTTCAACAAGACACAGCAATTACTGAGCATCTTCCTTGTCTTGCTAACATGTTTGGCAGAAGAAGGACACGTGATGAGTAAGAGTAGGCCTCTGTCTTTGTAATGTCAGAGATAGGAATATATACCAGAGAGAATGGTGTAGGGCTTTCACAAAGGCACAGCCATGCAAATCCAATCTCTTTCCCTCATTTGTCCTATGCCCCAGTTTCCTCTCTGAAGGCACAAAGCAAACAACTGCTTCCAGACACAGTTTTGTAATTGTTATTGGACGGAGGAGGTTTGATTCTGGATGAAGGCAGAGCAGGTGAAGCGGGGTATCTTAGAGTAAGAGAACAGCAACAGAGATGTTTGCTGGACAGTGAGGCTCTTAATACTCAGAGATTCTTGCTTTATTATTATGACTAGCTTCCAGATGCAAGGCTCCAGTTAAACACGGCCTCTTCTAAGAGATGCATTTACCCTTTGATAACCATTGACGACTCAGTCCCGTACAGCATCATGAGTGGTCAGAGACAGAGAAGGAAGGGTGCAGGGGAATAGACCTCAGGGACAAGTAGCATCGCTGGAAAAACTCCAGACTGGAAAGTGGGGCTTTTGAATTCAGTCTAAACAGCTCATATTTGGGTTCTTCTACCAGAATCTTCACTAATGACAGCCAATCTACTGCATCAACACTCAGCACTATTTTGCTCCTGGAAATAATCCCTGCCTTACCCAAGATGACCATGCCTCGTACCTGATACACAATCATTGAGCCAGTCATGCTGACCTACCTATAGCAGCATGCGTAGGTCTTTCTATTTGTAATACCAGACCATTGTTCAGGCAGCATCCTCTCTTTGATATGCCTTTTCCTCTTGTCTCATCTTCTGATTTCCTTTCATTACCTCTTCATCACTTTGGCATGGTCTATCATCAACCAGGGAATGACTAGGGAGTCAATTCTATTTCCCCTTATTTATGATGACACTACTTTATGCTACCAGTCTAAGGCTCACCAATCTCTCTTCCTCTTCTTGAACAGGTGTCCTTGACCCTACAGACCTTCCTCATGGTCCCTCTAACAAGTGATGCTTGCTTTGCTGCCACTGTCTCAATTTGTCTGCATTGGGAATTTAACCTCTCAGCATCCCTACGTCTAGTACAGTAGCTAATGGACATTCTGAACTTAACAACACTTTATTGCAGTAATAGGTGGATGAGCATCCTTGAGAGATGCTCTATGCCTCAATCATGTATCCCTGACTTGCTTGGCTTCTGATTCTGCCCTCCAAGCATCCCTCTCCACCACAGTGGCACTGACAGATGCAGGATGAATTCTGAGCTCAACTACCAGAGGTGAAGAGGGAAAAAAGAAAGATATTCATTAAATGAGTCTTTGGAGAATTATTTTCTCCCTAGTTGATTAAAAGCAGCTTCATATGAGGTTACAGAGGCTTCTAATTAAGCCACAGGAAGACTTTCCTAGCATCACCAACACCTGGAATTGTGTAATTACACATAACAGGTGTGGGCAGCTTTCTGCAGCAGGTGAGGGAGGGTTCTTACCTGCTAACAAGTTAGCTAGCAGTCTTAGTCCTCTGCTATCACAGGTGAGTTCTCTGGAGCAAGACTCACCTACCTACCTTGACTACTCCCAAAGCCTTGATCATCTGGGCTCTAACCACATTCACTCTTCTGCTCCCTTTATCTGTTACTCCATTCTCATTTTGTGCTATAGGCTGTGCTATATTGCAGGAAGCCAAATATAAATATAAATACATATAAATATAAATACATCCTGGAAGAAGCATTTCATTCCCTTATAGCTACATACTTAGCTATAATACACCTACAGAGTACTGTAAAAGATATGTATCCTGGGAGTCATGTAGGAGCCATGGTAACTTGCTGATGAGGTGATACCTACATTCTGTCTTCCAAGTAATCATCTTTCTTCCTGTTTCCTGAATAAACTGGGCTCTTTCAGAATGTTTCTCTATCTCAGGTTCATGTGACAATCACCAGGAGGTTCAGGTTTGTCCATATTTCCACAGAAGGCTGCATCCATCTCAGACTCTCTGAGGTGCAGCCCAGATATTAGAACTTTTAAAATGCCTCCCAGATCATCCTAATGCAAACCCTGGTCCTAACCCCCTTGTTACACTATGACCCCTGCCTTTGTGCATTCTTTGAATATAAAGTGAACCTCAGAAGTTCATGTATTTTGCCCCAGAAGTTGTTGAAACACATGAAGTGTAGGACACCTACAGCATCTGATGGACGGATGAAAGGACATCATTGTGTGGCATTGTCATCCTTGCTAAGCAATCAGACCCACATAATGTGGGTGATTAAGACCACTAGAGCTTAAACAAGGTCAGACAGTGTAGATGGCCATACTTATTGTTCTCTGTATGAGATGTTCTGTGATGCAAAAAGGAAATTCACAGTCTCTGCCACACAGGGGCATGCAGACCCAAGAGAGACCCCAGAAAACACAGCATTGTTTTCTGTGCCCTCACTATCCCTGGAAACCTCTCTATAATGCAAGTTTTACTGTACTATGAAGACCTAGAGCTGGACTCCCAAGGGACAGGCTATACAAGGGAATAGGAGATAACAGTAACCATAGCAGAAAGCATGTTACTGTTTTGAGCAAGACAATAGAGACAGAAGTCCTAAATGCACACTCAATCTAGTCTTCCATTCATTATTTGAGAATGAGTGGAATGGTGTGTTTGTGTGTGTGGCCATTATGGGGCCCTAACACTTTCTCTACCTCTTTGAACTCAAGGTCAGTGCCTCCTTAGCAGGGACTTGGAAAGTCATCTTGCTCATCTGGCCCATCTAGACCAGGGCATCCTCTCAGATAATCAACCTTCTAAGGTTTCTTCCTGGCTTAAAGCAAGGTCCTTCCAAACCCTCTGTGATGGTTAACTTCACTTGTCAACTTGGTGACATCACCTTGGATATTAGCCTCTTGATTATATAAATTGAGTTGCAAAGACACCCCACCTACTGTGGGTGGCACCATTCCCTGGGCTAGGATTCTGGACTATATAAAAGGAGACGGTGAACTCATAACCAGCGTTCATTGCCCTCTATTTCTTGATCTTGAGGCCCTACTCTTGTGACTTCCCACAGTAATGACCAACCTCCTGGAGATGCAGACCAAAATAAACACTTTCTCCTGTAAGTTGCTCTTGACAGGGCAATTTATTAGAGTAACAGGAAAAACAGGTAGGACCCACCTCCGCAACAGGTCCAACCAGCACAGAAAAAGCAAAACCCACATCTCACATTCTTGCTATGTCCTTTCTTTGGATAATTTTCAATAGAAAGGGGCAGCTCCAGGAACAACTACTGGATAATTGTGTAATTCCCAAAAGTTTGTGGGGATAAATAGCAGACAACCTTTTATATCTTAGAAAAATCTTATGTTGCTTTACTGAAGAAAAAAAAAAGAAAGAAAGAAAAGAAAAACCTAACAGCCAGGCTTACTTCTTAGAGCTGCTTGCAAGTGTCAGAAGACCCTTTAGTGCCTTGGTAAAGGGCAGGCTACCCTATTTGATTAGTTTCTTCTGGGAAGACCCTCAACATCTCCCCAGCATGGGCCCCCACTCAGATTTCCAGTCTACCATTTATATCTGGGTTCCATGTTCTCCATGCCACAGTGAAGCTGGGATGCATGCTCATGCTCATGTGTGACCTGGGCTTCACACTATTATTACCTCTACTGAAAGGAGTGCCCTTCCCTCCCAGGTGTCCGACATCCCTGTTCCTATTGGCATCTTAACTTCCCTGCCAAAGCCAGGACCTCCCCTCCTCCCTGCTCTGCTGTCCTTTGCTTATCCTCCCCGACTCTCACTCTGGCCATGTGGGCAGAGCCTGACCCGCCTCAGCAATTTCTCACTAGGCAGTCAGCGCTGGGTGGTCTTTTCCTTGGTTGTACAGAGGGACTATCTGAGGGGCCAGTGGCCAGCACAAAACAGGTGTCTTTTAAACTTTTGTAAGTTTCTCACACCAAATAAAGATGCTTCAGGACCATTCTGCTGCTGGAGACATCTGGGTTTTCCAATGTCTTCATCACCTGAAAACATCCAACTCTTCTCCATGAACATTATCAGCAAGGCTTGAGAGAAATACATTGACTGTTGCTCACCATTTGCCAGCAGGTGGTGATGTTTCATCTCTAACCAAATCCCAGCTCTGATTTGGGCGGGTTACTGAATACCCAGCAATATTCCTACCACTTAATCTTCAGGCCAGTAAATCCATTAAACAAATTAAGGAGCAGAATAAGGCCCAACCCTTCCCTGCTTGATACCTTGCACTCCATCACTTTTTAGGTTTCTTAGAAAATAAAATTCTGCAACAGAATGTGGTCACAAAATGAATCCTGTAGCAGCAAAAGAACTACAGGATTTAGTGGGACACACACACACGTGTGTGTGTGTGTGCACACACATACACACACAAGACATGAAAGCAGAACAGGAACTTGGGAAGAAGAATTACAGCCAGAGAAAGAGGGGGACATGAAAGAGGACAGTAGAGGATACAATGAATAAAATTAATTATATGAACATATGAGACTGTCAGAGAACTAAAAAAAACAAAATCATATAAACCTTCCCACAATCTGGGACTCTGCTGCAAGGGGTGGAAGTGAGCAGTAGGTCCCTTAGGAAATACGTCTGATGAAGTTATTGACAGATCTGTCCTTCAAATCTCTCACCTTAATCACTGTAGTCACCAGAGGTGACCAAATTGTCAAAGACGAAGGTATCCCGGGGACCAGGGCCACTACTATCAAGTGGAGGTTGCCCCTGCGCCTTTGTCAAGTTTGGCAATCTCATCCAATGGCTGCAAGTAGCTCAGAGACATTAAGGAAGCCCCACTTCTTAGTATCCACTGGTTATTATGAATGTGTGTGAGCACTTCCTGTCCTGTCCCTGGATGCTGAGGGGTTGCTCTGGGAAGCTTGCTGTTGTAACTGTGATAAAAGCCTAGTCACACTTTCCACCTCGAGTTTCCTCCTGGAGATCACAAGGTGCACTTCAGTCTTCAGTTCCTGGCAAGGAATACCTGAACCCCCTGAAAACTCCATAGAAATGGGAGTGTGTGCGGCTTTTGTTACTAAATTCTGTCTAACAAACTCATGAAATGTCTTTAACTAACCGCTAAGCAGCCATAGGGTAGAGGCTGCTGCCAGAAAAACAAACATACAAAAAACAATTCATGGTTAGGAGGTGAGAAATGTCCCCAGATTTCAAGGAAAGAAGAGTTTGGGGATTGAATGAATCATCAACGTCAAGGACCTAATCATGTCTCTATACTGGAGCCTCCATACATGGAAAATTAGTACTGCCATTTCTACCAAAGGATTATACAAAACAAAGTTCATTAAAAAATTGTAAAGAAGCCATTTGGCAGAGATTCAGACTCCTCCAGGGCCAGCACTTCCTGAGACCAAAATACTTGTCCAGGGTTTCATCGTCTTCTCGGGATGGCTCTTTGCCTGTCACCACTCAGGTTTGACTTACATAGCCATGGAAGAGTGTGAGACCAAGCTCTGCCAATTCAGTGACAAAGATGACCTTTGCACTAGGAATAAAAACCCAGGAGGACCTCACTGAGTATGGATATCCACCTGCTTGATGTGTCCAGGATATTCACCCTTCAAGAGAAATGAAATGTTTTGCCTTACTGGAGTAAGTTGGGACTATGTGATAATTTTCTTGGGGCCCTAGATCTGCTTCTAATATATAGAAACCTTTAAAGTCAGGGATGGGAGAGTTCCCAGGCTGGTGAATGCACCCACCTGCCTGAAGTTGGTATAGTCAACTCAAGAAACAGAAGCTCCACTCTTGCCCTCCTTTTCAGACTTTGACCTAGGTATCCTTCATCTAGCTGTTAACTTGTGCCCTTTGCAATATCCTTTATAGCAGACTGGCAAGGATTAGAAAAGTGTACCCTGAGTTCTCTAAGCCATTAAAAGAAATTGTCTCACTGGAAAAGGTTAGGATTGCAACCTCCATTTGGTAGCTGATTGGTCAAAATAGGAGAGTCCCAGAAATTGCAATGTTGCAAGACTGGGCCTTTAACCTATGGGACCTGTTTCAGACTCTAGGCAGACACTGTTTGAATTAAACTACATGGTTGGGCATGAAGTTAGTATTAAAGAATTGATGAAGATGAGACAATTCCTCATGCATAGATGTTGGAAGTTCATTCTTTTGTACATGCCCCAAAGGATGTGCCATCCTCCTACTTCATGACTCCTAGTGACTTGAAGAATTCATCCTGGCACCATGGTGAGTGGGGCATTCAGGCTTCTTGATCATTAGTTTTGGCTCGCTCCCTGGTGTTTCAGTCAACCTCCTCCTTGCAGAGGTGAGACTTCTGCTCTCTCCTGTAGACCTGGACCAGGAACCCTTCCAGTTCTGATCTCTATCATTGCCCTAGTGCAAAAGCACAAGGCTTTGGTATTCTCTCAATCCTTGATTTCATATTTAGCTTCTTTGTTAGAGCCCACTACGATCTTGCTTCATCCTGAAAAGAATTACTGACACACTACCTGGGGTTCTGCCACCATGCATGGTATCTCTGTCCAGATACGATTCCGTTCATGGATTATTCATCATCGAAAGCCCAAGAGTGAATATAGACTCCTTCACTAACCTTGTGATCCAGGGAATGGGAATCACCGTAAGTCCCCAGAGCTGACCCAGGGGCTCACAAGTAATGGAAACTTTAAAACTCTGGCTGAAATGAATCAAATTTCACCTCTTCAACAGGTGCCATAGTTCCTAAGGAGACATTCATGAAAATGCCAAAGAGAAAGAGGGAAGGGGTTGACTGTTTGACTACACTGCCTTCCAAGAACCCATACAGTGCTAGAAACTACTTGCTGAAGGAGAAATGCCCAGCCAGAGTGACACGTGATTGTGACAAAAATCCTGACGTTAGCATTATCTGCATTCTGTGTCCTGCACCATGACCCATGTGCAAAGGTCAAAACTCTGCTTCTATTTCATGTCATCAGTTTGTGTCTTCTGGTAGCTTTGTGCTGGGGAGTGTCTCATGGGGACTGGTGGCTCTTCTAGCCCTGTGTCTCTGGTAAAAGAACTCAGCTCTGTGAGCTGGTCCCCAATCCCTCCTCCACAAAACATAATAAGATTTCTTATTTTACAGACTGTTGTATTGATTCAATGGGGGAATTTCATGTAGTACATATCACATAGCAGCTGGTAACCGGCAGGCATGTGCCATACTTTTCACTGTAAGAAAGAGAGACCAACAAAAACCAGATGCATTTCATCTTTGCCTTGGTCTGTGGTGTTTATGTCTTTGCATGTGTATAGGTAGGTGCATATGTGCACAGGTGCCCATGCATGTTTATGCTTAGAGAGACCCAAAGCTGACATTGGGTATCTTTCTCAGTGGCTATCACTTTATTTATTGAGACAGGGTCTCTTGCTGAACCCTGAGCATGACAATTCTGACTTGTCTAGCTAGTGTGCTTGCCCCTGGGATACTGTATTACAGGCAGCCACCAGGTATGGCCTTCCCATTCTTTCTTATGAGTTCTGGAGATCTGAAGTGTGGTCTTCATGCTTGGGTGGCAAAGGGCTGTTATCCTCTGAGCCATCTCCTCAGCCCCTGTTTCTGCTTCATGGATAGGAAAACCAAAATTCATAAAGATTAAACAACTCGTCAATACTGTGGTACAAAGGTCTGTTTTGAGGCCAGCTTCCGGCAATGAATAGCTCTGTAACTCACCAACTCAATCAGCTTCCTTCCAACATTAAATTCCTCTCCGATTGAAAGTACAGTGGTCCTAGCCTACAATAATGAAGTGTGGTTTTCCCACTCTACAGAGTGCCCAAGGGATAATAAATCACAGCAGGTGACTCAAACAGATGCGCATCCATACTGCCCCCACTCACCAAGGGCACAACCATTGTTTGCTTTATAAAGTTGAAACCAAGTCCCCAATATGAAATTACTATTTTTTTTTTTTTTTACTGTTGCAAGTTTCTGGAGTCATTTTCCTTCCCTGACTAAAGCCTAAAAACCAAGAATAAAATGTCCTTTCTTTTGAAGCCCAGGGAAAACATGAATAAGTCCTCTTAATTGCCAGGTTGTAGTTTAGTGTTCACTTGCTTCACTGGTTACAGAAGTCATGGAGGTAAACATGTTCATCACTAGCTTCATTTCAAACAGTGCCCTGACCTATGGTCCATTTGGGATGATTATGTTTTTAGGGACCCACAGGTAGCTTTGTCTTACTTAAACAGGTTGAAGCCATCAATCCCTTCACTTGAATGTGCACAGTGTTGGATGCATAACCTTTGGACATCTGCGAACTCCACCTACATGCAATGCTAAGACTGCCATTTCTGAATCTTCTGCCTATGAACAACCATGGAGTTCCTTGCACATGTTCAAAATATGATTAGTTTTCCTCATTGTCAGTCATCTTGTCCAACATGACCTCGGACACCTTCTTTGTTTATGCCACAGAAACCTTCCAGGTCTTTCCCTAGGGAGGCAGATTGGAGGCCAGGCCTATCCCCATATTTTGTTACCTGTGAAATCACTTTTTCTCACTGGGAAAAAATTGTGGCTTCAGTGACTGGCATGCTGTGTGGCAGGCAAAACTAGCTCGGTCCAGTACTGTAAGTACTTCCATCTGTTCAGACTCAGGGTCAGCACAGTAATTACCTGTAACTCTGAGCACAGCTGAGAGAGTGTTTCTTCAACAGCAAGGGCCTCTAGAAGGAAGAACAAGGACCACACAATTAAACAGACCCCATTTAAATGATGCACTTGCTAAGGAAAGGAAAGGCCTAAATTTCATGCTCTAAATTGTAAAGTAGGAGAAAGAGAGACAAAGGCAACTCCAGAGGACTCTGCTAGTCAGACATTGGAGAGAATCAACCTCATTTGACACCATGGATTGAGTACAAGAGAAAATACATTGTGGACTACTGGGTGGAATTATAAGGTACAATTGACCCCTTAGTGTGTCTAGCACTTCGTGTGCCCTAAATGAGTCTATATTTATTTATGCTTTTCCAGATGCATGTATGGAGAGAGAGAGAGAGAGAGAGAGAGAGAGAGAGAGAGAGAGAGAGAGAGAGAGAGAGAGAGAGAGAGAGAAACTCCCACAAATGTGTATTTTGTAATAGAGAATATGAATTTGTTCTCCATCTTGGAGCTAAAAAGTCAGAAGCTCAAGGAAGTGGAGTGGCAGATCTGAGTAGACTTCAGGCTCCAGGGACCATGACACTAATGAGCATCATAACCATCCAAGCCACCCACAGCACAGTCTGCTATGTGCCAGCTTGTTAGCCTGAATCAGTGGCCTCCAGCTTTTTGTGACTTAATGGTCAGAGTTTTGACAGTATTTGAATTCTCTCCTAACCCCCTAATGCCTAAGGAATCTGAGGGGGACCCAGCTCTCACCAACCCCACAATCTGATGGTAAAAAGAAACTTGCAAATATATCATTGTCATGCAACCAACTTTTAATACACAGGCCAAATGATACGGTACTGACAGAAGTTGGTATCCAGAGGAAGAGACAAAGAAGCAAGCACTCAGTGGGATTCTGACACTGAAATGTGCATTATCCTTGAATCCTAGGCTCTGGGGTTGAGCCTCTGATCCGAAGGACTTTGAGCAGAACCACAGTACATAGCAGTCTGTAAAGGAGGGTGACAGGACTGAAGCACCCTACCACAGGCAGTCAGGGCAAGAACTCAGGGCTTCTGGCATGGCTACATATGGCTGTGCTAGATGACTTTCAATAGTCGTATTCCGTCCTGTGTTTGACTTCTCTTATTTATCACTCAAGAGGGATTTGAGTCTCACTCATCTCCATGATGTTCAGTTTGGGAAAACAATCTCTTTGTCACCATAACCAAATACGGCATGCCACTGCAGGTTTCCAGACCCCTTCACGGAATAGAATGGCCATATGTGTCAATATACATGTGTGCATGATTGTTTTCTATAGCTATATTTCTATAGTTTTGTAAGGCTGTTATACATGTTTATAAATTGCAATTCTATAATTGCCTCTTAATTATAAAAGGCTTTAACCTTGAATATTATTCTAGAAAATGTTAGAAAGTGTGTGTGTATATATGTGTGTGTGTATGTATGTTATTCAGTGGTAGTTGGTAGTCTGTAAAGGACTAAAGGACTCAAAAACCTTCCCCTTCCCATGCCCTTCTTCCCCTTTACTTGATTAGACAATCACTTTAGATTATGTAGTTGAGCTTCTACCAATGAAGTGAGATTCAGTCATCACCTATTTCAGCAATGACAGACAAGAGCTGTGGTGGCCCTGGTATGTTGCTAGCCCAGCTTGAGTTCTGAAACAACCTGTTTTTTTTTTTTTAAATAATCACCTTTATGAGATATTTTTGCTTTGTATGTCCCTTTGTATAATACCAAGATTATTTCTAACAAAAACAACTTAACGTTATTGAACAGGATGTGTGGTAGCTGTTCAAGAAATATTTGATCCATAAATGAATGAGTGGGTGTCTTGGGGCATTCATATGTTTTCTCACTACATTTGTCTTTCCAAAGAGTTTCTCTTAATACAACGAGGTAAAGCCCAGAAAGACTTGAAGGGCCAAACATGTTTTCACCATAACCTTTGTAAAAGGATACCACCTTTTGTCCATCTGTGCTCCAAAACGGAATGCCAGCACTTGGCATGAGACTTTCTCTTCCCATCCCCTTACCCAGCTCCATGGTGGGCAGCTCAGGAATGTCTCTCATGATGACCAGGAAGTAGAGTCGGAGGCCCCGATAGGCATGGAGGAGCAGAAGACAGAGGTCCCGATGCCACTTGTGTGCATGTTGTATGCAGTTCTCTGAGGGGACGTAGAAGCTTCCCTGAAGAGACATAAGAAACAGAGCTGAGGAATCTCTACCTCACCCTGGCTTCACAGAGCCCCTCTCCTCCACCCAACATTCACAGACTATTTTGGACTTTGGGACAGCAGGTCTGGTTCTTAGATAATATGAAGACTTCAGAAAGAAAGCTGGCTGAGTGTGAGTCTCTTCTGTATCCATGCCAAGTAGGAAAAACCACAGGCACGCCATACCTCTGCTATATCATGTTCAAGTAAGATATTAATAGTTATAATATTAAAAGCAATGGTAGACGATGATGACGAAGAAGCAGGTAAGGCTGACAATGCCCCCACTAAGAATGTTTGTGACCACTGACTGCTGCCCTTTTAGAAGTCACTTTCCCTGATTCCCAGAGGATACACTGTAGAAGAGGTTGGGGGACAGAAGTGGAATCCTTTACATGGGTGGCGGGAGGATTAGGAAGATTATTAGAACAGATAGGCGAGCAGCAGATGGTGCTACAAAGGAAGAATAAAACTGTAATTAAATTATAAGGAAGCATAAAGTCGAGTCCTCAGTGCTGATGTGCTGAACAAGAGCTCTGAGTCTGTGCAGGTAGAAGAAGGCTCTTCACAGTGGAATCTGTTTGAGGCTATAGAATTGGTAGAAAGACAATTTGGTTTGTGCAACAACAAGAAAATGCCTAAGTCCACAGTCAGCTCAATGCGAGGGAAAAGTATGAACAAGACAGTTTTGTTTATCTTTAATAACACAATTTGTTTCTCTTTCCAACCCGAGAGAAAGATATTCCAGAGTGAATCAAAGGATATTTTTTTTCTAAGAGCAGAGAAAGGAATCATGGAATGGGATGTGGACAGTGGAAAACTGAAGATACTGAGTGGTAAGAATATTTGGTGGCATTACACACCCCCTCCAGCTCATTCATCTTTTCCTTCTTGGCCACAGTGGAAGCAAGCACTGGCTCTTCATGGTTCCCTGCTGCTGCCTTGCCCATTCTGGGGGAAGATTCAGCTGGGAGGGGGTGGCATCAACCCTCTTGACTTCAGTGGGTGCGTCTGCGTGGGTGGTGAGTATGGCAGCCTCCTATCCCACTTAGTATCTCTTCTTGTTGCTAACTAAGCGAGCTGAATTGGTCTAGCAAGGCTATGACAAATCAAAACTCTTGAGTATGAGCCACCTCAGGGAAAGATATGAGACCCTGGGTAAGGAGCTCTTTCTAGAGCAGTCATTAGTGGTTGCCCCCACCCCGGCCCCACATCCCCAGCATGAAAGGGTTGGCTCAGGATGGAGGCAGAACCTGAACACTATATCTCCATGACTACTACAAATACCTCTGCTACAGTATCCACTTTCCAATGCCTTTATTTCCTGAGTTCTATAACCTTGCCTTTTATTATGAGGCTGGCTGGTCTTTCTAATTTGAACTTAAGAGAAAAATTACACACGGATAACAACAAGTCGTGAGAGTAGTTTATATGCATGTTGCAGTGCAGAGTAGAAATGATAGAGATGAAATTGGAATTTAAGGAGGTAACATAATTAAACAATTCCAAGAATAGTAAGTTTTTTTTTCTAATAACTTAAATTGTAAAAGGATGGCAACAAGGACTTAAAATAATTTGATTGACATTTTGTAAAGAGTGTTAAGAATGCCATATGGACAACGAAATGCATTGTCTAAAACTATAATAGAAATAAAGAATCAAACAGAAGGATGTCTTAATTACTCAGTGCAAACTAGCTTAGACTATGGTAAAACACCAAGATAAAATTGACTAGCTCAGGATGAGCAGTCCCTCCCCAAGAGTCTATATTCTGCCATAAGTCATCTCTGTTTTCCTTAGGTGAACCTTTGTCCTCACTGTACTGGTTTAACTCTGGTATATACTTGTAAAAAGTTACCTCTCATCATGGAAAGAGCTGACAGAAAGCTAAGTAGACTATCATTAATATTAGCTCTACAGGAAAGAAAGCTTTCCAGCTATTGCTTGCCAAGAATAAATGCTGCATACCCTTAATTATGATTCTTATATGTTAAGTAATATCAGTATAATAAAAAGATTTTGTTAAAGAATAATGAAAAAAGTGATTTGGAATCAAGAAATTTACTCAGAAAATTCAGCCCAGTAGAATGTGTCCCTTTGCCCAGCTCTCAGGATCACCTATTTGTTTATGTTTGTTATCTCTCATATTATATTCAGATTGAACACAAAGTAGCCAGCATAGTTGTAGAAAGACCAGCAGAGCTTGTGTACAGTAAGGAGTATGTTAGAATTCCCAGGACCATAGAGCAATAGGAAATCCTGTCTAATGAGCCCCAAAGACAGCTCCATTGTATTGATCTCATTTGATCTCTAACAAATTCTGTGTGAAAGGTAGGTACTCTCATTCCTCTTTCCAAAGTTGAATACAGATTTGGACTAAGGAAAATAAAATTTAGTATCACCAAACATAACATGCAATTCTCCAGTGTCCAGAAAAATTATTATAGATCTTTCTAGAAAACATCCAAATACATATATGCATATATACACAGTTATGTGAACTTATTGCATGTATGTATATTTTACATGTATAGACATGCCCATAAGGTGGATAATGATCTGAATATTTCTAGTTTTTCTTTTACAGCAATGTGACTTAGAGTTTTTTTGGATCAGACCAAAGCCCAAGTCACAAGAACACCTATTTCCATATTTCCATTCCATAGATCAAAAAACTGGGGCTCAAAGAATTAAAGGCCCCAGATGAAGTCACTCTGCTTTCCAATGGCAGTAATAGCTTTTTGAGCCTATATTAAAGCAAAGGATCTCTGTCTGGGTGCATACTCAGAGAGAGGATGCGGTGGGGGGAGGGGAGAGCCGAGAATTGCACCTGTCGGAGAACAGATGCTCAGCCAAGGTCTACCTGCTCTGACAGAGGCCTTAACACAGAAGTCCCCAGTTGTCTTCATTTTCTGTGACCAAGAAGGAATAAAAATCAGGAAGAGATTATAAAGGCATCAGATACAGTAGTCATTATGCTCCTGACAGTCCTGAGAATGCATTTTTCTGTCCTTCTGCCTTCTCAAAATTCCATCCTCTTACCACCATGGCCTTCTTTTGAAAAGCAACCCAGAAACTAATGAAGAGGGTAAAGAATTCATTCTGGAAAACTGCTAAGTTTGACTTCCATTTTATATTTTTAATTCTTAATAATGTCATACTTCTTAAATGCAATGTGCCATGATCACATTCATATGCCCACTCTGCTACTCTCTCTACTCCTCTCTTACCCGCCCCCCACAAATCCATTTAATCTTCCTCCTACCCTTCCTCACATCATCCTCTGTTTTACTTTATTGTTGTTGTTGTTGGTGGTGGTGGTGGTGATGGTAGGTTTTTGTTTTTGTTTTGTTTTGGTTATTATTGCAAATTTCACAGAGGCAGTCATAACTACTGAACTGACATCTTGAGTGTAAATGTAATATCTGTATAACAGAACATTTCAGAAGAAGGAGTGGAAGGGACTTTGGGAGCTGAAGAATGAGGAAGAAGGTGACAGTCTCTGTTTTGTAAGTTTGAACTTTAAAACAGGCCTCAATGTCATATGGATGTTTTAAGAAAGACAAAAAAAATTGGTGAGTCTTCATAAGGCAGATTCATTATCATTATGGAGATGGGTAAGGAGTCTAAACACTAATCTAAGCAGCTATTCTGAAAACTGGCTGGAAAGTATTATTTAAAAAATAATCCCCGAATAAATCCCATTGTCCATAAACTTAACAAGGTGTAACTTTTTGAATTGGACAACATAATGTACATAAATCACACAACCAGCCCTGTAGGCCTGCAGAGCCCATGTGTATGTAGAAAGGCCAGTATCCCTCCACCAGAGTTTCATGAAGTATTCAAAGTATAAGGGAAAACACGTAGAAGCCAACTTTTCTAAATCTGGAGTGAAATCTACAAATAGTGAAAGAGGCATTAAATAGGCATGCACATTTCCAGTCAATCCATGAACTCACATCCCCTGGACTGGACTCTGTCCACAGGTAGATACACAACAAAAGACAGCTGTTGCTTCCTTTCTATGGATGACTTAAATCCTGTGTAAGTAGGAAATATCCTCACAAGAGGATAGAAGTAAAATAGAGACCTTGGAAAAGCCAACAGAGAAAACAACGTTGCTGTCTGAGTTTTTGGTTTGATTCTTTGCTACTGTCACCTTGGATAGAGTGCTCTCAATCTTAGTACTGCAGGGACATCATTCACAAAGAGGGGCCACACACAATACAGGCATCACAGAACTGCGATTAAAGAGCAAATGAGGGCATTCAGGTAAAATGTTGAGTCAGTACCTGTTGAAAAGGCACTTGCACACACTCGGGGACTCAGTCCCTGATGGACTCATGAACATCCCCACAGACAATGCAGCCTAACAATCAACCCACTAAAACCAAATAACTAAGACCAACTCAACAGGTCTCCATTATTAACTTGTAGATATGTGCAAATATCTCTCTGCTTATGAATTAGTATCTCATTAACCATGTGGTAGAGTTTGCCCATTAACATCAGAAGAACAGATTTCCCAATGTTGGAAGTAGGTATAGCAACAATGTGTGGTATATAGTTAACTGATCAGATGTTCAAGTTTTACTTTGTATGACATTTATTACCTACCAGACTATAGAAAAGTCAAACATAATTTTGTGAGCTCTGGATCCTACCTGTGTATACACACCTCTCAAATGTATACTGCTCCATCTAAGTATAGTACTGGGCTCTAGACCTCTGAATTGCACACTTCCAATTGGGCTTCTTGCCAGATTCACAGAGGCATCTGAAACCAGCTGATTATGTCTCCCATATGTAACCTTCACTTCTTTCCCTCTGGTCTTTACTACTAGATCTCACTCTGTCCAACATCCAGCACATTGGTAGCCACTGAATATATAGAGTAGCCAAATGCAGGAGTGACCAGGGCATCCTGTATGGGACATGGTAGCTCAAGACACCATGGACCTGGTGAGCATA